GTACCGAGCGAATTCTCCAGAATAGAGGCCCATTTTGGCTTCAGCAAACTGACATAATGCCCAATTGGGCCCACGGGGCGTCTGCGGAAGGACCCTTCTTGTTCAATGGCCTTGGTGAGCGCTGGCATTCTTTCGTGGAAGCCAGAATTTCTCGCCCCGCCCTCTCTGCTCAAGTTTTGTAGAACCGACTGTGCTTGCTCAATGTCGGCTTTAACCTTGCTGACAGGGGCAGCGGCTGATTTCACTTCCTTTTCAGCTTCACCTATCTTCTCATACAAGCTGTTTCTCTCGGCTTCATGTTCCTTGAATCGAGCACGGGCATCTTCCGCGCCGGCTTGTGCCTGCTCGAGTTCCTCTTGTTTTCTGAGAAAGCTTCCCCCACTTATATCACTCAAGCGCTGGTGCTCATCTGCAAGCTTTTTCCGAGTTTCAGCTATTCTAGTCTCCGCAGCCTTCAAATACTCTCTGATCTGGCGTTGCTGGGCCTGCGTGCATGCGTTAAGAATCTCAACACTGAACAGCATGTGTAAGGTGGCCTTACCTGTAGACCATGACGTTCACTTAATTGAGCGTCCATTTTATGTTTGATCTCATCCCTACTTAATTGACAAGTCTCAAGCTTGGAGGTAGCCTGCTGGACAAATTCGGCCGCAAGTTCGGTTTCTCTCTCTGCCTCCTGTATGCGATGTTCATAGCTCCCGAGATCCGCTTCAGCAGCAGCTATATCCTCAACGGCTGTCGTCATCTCTGTTTTCAAAGAATCCTGGATCTGCTCATGTTCAGATTATGCAGCATAGGGGCTTCAACTTGGTGAGCGTGCTTACCCGCTCTTGTTCCTCCACTTGAGCCCAAGCCATTTGATTGCGAACATTTCGAATGCGATTACGTAGAGATTCATGCTGGTCAGATAAATCTAGTTTCCGCTTTGCTGCATCCTGACGACTTTTCAGAATTGTGATATCTTGCACTCTGCTTTTTAGCTTCGCCTCGATCTGATCTCCAGACTCTTCGATTAGACGGTAGTCCTGGTCAAGTTGTTCCAATTGAACACCCTTCACGAAAAATTTGTACTTATCACTGGGGCTAGACGAGCTAAGGAATTGACGAGCCATATCCTGCGAAAGAACGTTCATCGGGTTGTCAAACTGCAGGGTAAAGTAGTCAATGATAGAATCAAGCTCCGCTTTCTTAGTAGAGACGATACGCCCACTATCAGACTTGATCTTGAACCCACTGGTGCCCATCTTGGAGAAGTGGCGCTCGATAATGATTGATTTTCCATAATCATCTGGCATGTAAGCGCCATCACCCTGATTCTTGATCCGCACTACAATGGTTGCGCTCCTAAGGAAGTTCAGAATTGGATGCATATAAGGGACTAGACAAACCTACTCTTTGCCTTCCTTGATGAAACTCTTCAGACTTTGCCCACGGTTTGTGGCCGAAGCTTTGCCACCCAAACATAGAGTGATAGCCGTGAGGACTGCACTCTTGCCAGAACCATTTTTTCCAACGACAAAATTTATCAGCGGACCGAGCTCGATGTAAAAATGGTCATGACACATGAAATTGTAGCACTCGACGCGCTCCAGAATTCCATGCTCGGCAGGCACGTTCGGCTCGTCACCAGCGAATGAATACTTCTCCTGGATCACTTGTGTAGCACGAAGCTCAAGTTCATCCTCATCATCGTCAGGCGGTTCTGATATGGATGGAGATGTTGTGTCTTGGATGTCATCGTCGCTGACTTCATCGGATCCGGACGAGTTAGTTCCGCGCATGCGTTTTCGCTGGTCAAATCAGTCATATGCCTTTATCACAACGGATATATTCAACGTACCGATGGGGGCGTGTCTGATTGCCTTTCCTCATTTGAGTCCACAGAGAACCTCTGGGGGCGCTTACTTGATGGCATTGAGTACACTTGAATGAATTGACTTGGGCATGAGAAACTTGGTATGGTTTGGTATGAAAAGTACTCGACCACTGGCGTGCGCAGGGACCCGCTCTTATTGAAGGAGAAGTAGCCTGGTTTGGTGATAATGGTTGGTGAAGCAAGGAACAAAGAAGTCGAAGAGCTAGCGCCGATGCCCTTTCTTTCTTTTCTTTCGAAGTGTGGAATTGAGTACAGTAGTAGTACATTTCCTTTGTTTCGTGTTCTAATGCTTATCGGACGCTGATAAGGCGCGCGGTCGCGTGGCGCGCTTCTCGGTAATTGCAAATTTCCCCGCTCAGTGAAAGGACATACTGTGTACATACTTAGCCCAGCTACCTGACTGCCAAGCACACGATTGATTGTCTGCTGGCCGAGAAAAGCCGAAATGTCATAAGGCTTTGCCAGATTCTGACCTACTATGAAAGTGCTTACTAAGTAATGTGAGGTGCGAGAATTACAACATGACTTGCCTAGAGGAGCAAAAGCTACTTTGCAGATAAAGCATCAATGCACGCGATGCACGCTGTTTAGATCGTCTAGGGTACGGAGTAAGTTGGCTAGTATTTTAATAATACCGCCTACGTCTCAGCTGTACCCGCTTCTAAGGACACGCTTGGGGGGTCCAGGTTTACGACGTTAGACTCTGTGTCTATGGCTCAATAGGAGCTTGAAACCTTTCAGGCATCAAGATGATGTGGTCATTATGGGGTTACGGTACAGTGGTACACGATAATCAGAAGTGAGATCACCCTCAGGTGAGGGTTTGATTGAGACGTACGAGGCTATATTTTGCTGGCAGGAGGGAAGAGCTTGACTGAAGTAAGAAACATATGTATTCCCCTGGATTATTGAATGGCTCGATGGTTCCAACAGACTGAAGCAGTTGAGTTAAGTCTTGAGGCTGAGATGCGAGCGGGCGGTGCATGACTAGGGGTTCATGGGTTCCTCTGCAACGTAGTGCAGATAAGCCCCCAGCAACTTAGTCCCTTCAATGTAGTTTCTCTTGTCAAGCTTCTCGTTCACGGAATGGGCAGCATCAGTTGAACTGCCCATTGGGAGAAGCAAAACGTTCTTCCCGGTAGCTTGCTCAAAGCTCAATGTGACCGGAATACTGTCAATGGATTAGCTTTGAGAAGATCATAAGCAGCCTTGATATAAGCATTTTCCATACCTGCCACCTTCGCGGGTCATGTCGGGCTCGACACCAAAGACCTGTTGAACAGCCTTGCTTGCAGCGGTGAAATTCCAGTGCTTCGGACTGGCCACCCACCATTTCCCGTCATGCTGGAGCCAAACGTCTAGCTTGTTCTTGCTGTTGAGTTTGGCGAACTCTGACTTGATATGATCAAACACAAGTTTGTTCACATCCTCGCTTTCCATGTTTGGCACTGTTCTTATAGAGAACTTGCCAATTACCTTGGCTGGAATCACAGTCTTAGCCCCAGGAGCGGAATAAGCACCCTCGATGCCATGGATAGACAAAGAAGGGTATCGCCACCTAGCCATGAGAGTTTCTTCTTTGGTAGGATGAATGCCTGTCTCGCTGCCCAAAGACTCATGAAGGTTCTCCATGGTGTAACTGATGTTGGGATACAAGGACTTCTCGTCCTCCGACATGGGTTCGACCAGATCCATGATGCCAGGGATCAAGATTTTTCCCTTAGGATCGACAAGTTTGGAGAGGACATTGACCAGGTCTGTCATCGGCTCATGGGCAGAGCCTCCGAATACTCCGCTGTGTAGATCCTGAGCAGGGCCTGAAACACTCACGGAGTAGTAATTACAACCGCGAAGACCATAAGTCAGGCAAGGCTTCTCTGTTCCCAGCCAGTAGTTGTCCGAGATACAAACCGCATCTGCGTCCTTGAAGAATTTCTTACTTTCGGTTTGGATGAACTCCTCCAGGCCTTCCGAGCCGTATTCTTCCATGCCTTCGAAGCAGCAAAGGAGATTGACAGGGAAATCCACACCCGCCTTTTTGTGAGCCTCGATCACGTTCAACCATCCCAAGACTGGTCCTTTGTCGTCAGTGCTTCCACGTCCAAACATTCTTCCCTGATCATCGACAGTCAACTCAAAGGGTTCTGTCGCCCAGCCGTCTTCTTTCAAGGCAGGCTGAACGTCATAATGACCGTAGACGAGAATAGTGCGCTTATTCTTGTCGTTACCATACCGAGCGACTACAACTGGAGGTAGATCAAGGTGCTCCTTGCCGGGCTGCTTGCCTAGCGAGCGTTGTTCCACTTCAGCACCCAAAGCTTCGAGCTCGGAGGCGAGGAACTGGGCCATCTGATGTGAACCCACGTGTGTTTTAGCTGCGGTCCTCTTAAGGTAGGGTGGAACCTGCGGAAAGTACCTTGAAAACATCTTTTCTGTTCTCATCCTGCGCAGAGATTGATGGAATGGCAACAGCCTTTCGTAGCCCTTGCTATTCGGTCAATACACAAAATATAGGCGGGCGATGGAGAACATAGGCCCATACTATCAATGAAGGAACCGGATAGGTCGTCGACCCTATATGAATAAGGCATTAGACATGGTCAAAACCGGTCATTTATGTGAATTATAGCAAAAAGCGACAAATGTCACATGGTATGCGGTGACGACCGATGAAGCAGGAGTGACGAAAGCGTTTCAAAATGGTGAAGCACGATAGAAGGAGGGGTAGGCTGGGGGCAAGGGAAGTTGGGCTCACTGTTTGAAAAACGGCTCAAGTTGCGGTGCCATCTTTGAATCGCTGATATGTCCGTAGAATGCGTGACGAGAAGATAAGCGGCGTACTGTTGAATCAGAAATTGTGTGAGATGTCAAATTGCCCTTGATGTGGAACGGAAGTGACAAGAAGGGTCTGTACTCCCTAAGCGACGTTGCAATTCGACGGAGGGGGAGGGGCATTTCGGCCGTGGACGAAGACTAGGATTATTATTATTAACAATTACCACCTTAGGGACAGGCAGTGAAAGCAAGTACCAGGTCAGTAAGCCTAGAGTTTCCGCGAATAAGCGGCTACCCGGCTAGGCGAGACTCAACTGGTATCGACATGTGTCTAGAATACCATTTGTAGAGCATGATGCCTTCATCAAATACTTGGTTGGCTTCAGCTAGTAATTCCAGGGATCATCTATATGATACATAAGAAACAGTTTATGGCAAATATATAATTATACAGCAACCAATGGCTTCTAATAGAACATATATTGAAATAACGGGCAACAATTTGAAGAACTTTGAAAGCCCTGAGTGAAGAGAAGGGATAGAGCGTTTGAGAGGTTTGGCATACATATCCCAGAACAGGAGAGCATGCAGGCACAAACCGTTCTGAGAGATTGTCGTCAACGGTCTCTTCCCCACGATTCTTTCCGCAATGTCCGGTCCTCTCTAGCCATGCGGCGCTTGGTGCCCCATCTTGATTGCACCGCCTCCAAGACTTGCTTCTGCATTTCTTTCTTCTCCCGACTGGCTCCGCACACCATCGAGATGAAGAGTGGTGAGCAATCAAAACGCTTGGCCAACTTCGAGCGACTCCACGTCATCGGGTCACTGGTTCTGAGCCTGCGTATTTCTAGTACATCAGAGGGGTTCAAGTGATATCGTTTTGGACCAGGCGATTTGTTCAAAGATGCAAGCTCGGCATGGTTCTGCTGGCTGATTGAAGTATCACCAACTAAAGATCTCCGGATGTCGTCGCTAGGAAGAAATTTCGCTGGTGTGTGGTAAACCGATGGGGAGCTTGAAGGAGGGTTATAGACGATGTGATCTCTTTCGACCTGGCCCAACGACGACCCAAATGAAGCATCGGGCTTCACACGCAGGCGTTGCTTTGTACGTCTATAAGAGGACTGGCTCCGCCGAGACGTGAGAGGCATGAGTTCGCATGACGAAGGTAGAAGGAAGGGCAGTGAGAGGAAAGGCCTCTTAGCTGCAAGAGTGCTAGCCATTATTAAGTCGATTTGCTGAAACACGCTCCGTGAAAGTAACAAGATACAATCAACTCTGGATTGCGTGAGGAGCGAGGCGAAGATTGCTTTTCAATAAATCTAAAGTGAAGGCGAAGTTATTAGCACATGTGCTGTGTTGTTAGCTTCAGCAGAAGCACACCGGGATAATAATGCACGGTGCACACACTGATAAAGATATAGCTAGATCATGATTAAAGATGTATGTAGCGGAGATCTGAGTCGCAGTGGTATGAGTCGCAGTGGTATTTACAGATGTGAATAGAAGGTTGAGCTTTTCTGGGCCGCAAGTCCCGTGATAAGCTTAATAATAAGACACTGCATACTGCATTGAGCATGTGCACAACATCGGGTACTCCGCGGGACTGTTTTATTGATTTGTCAAATGAGAAGCTAGTCCGTTTTAGTAGCGCTTCGCAACCTCCAGGCTCCGACCAGGCTCCCGAGTCCCCGACTAACTTAAAATGATGAGCGATGATCGGCTAAGATTATGTGCGCAAATGAAGAGATTTGATTGGCTACCTGGGTCATTAGTCACGTGAGCCGCGCTTTGCTGGATGGCCGAAGGGCGGGCATGGCCTCCTAGCTGCAGATTCAGGCTACAGGCCTGAATCAATACATCTATACTTGTATAGAAGCAACGTAGTAGAGGGTGCCTAGAAAGGTGCTTAAACAGCCGTACCTATAAACAGGCCTTAAATAGTTGCGTAACCATGCCTTTGAGCAGCTGCGTAAGCAGGGCTGTATAGACAGGCCCTCGTATGTATTAAGCCTATATAGGATATCGAGTAGTATACTTCGTAAATGAGCTCGCTATTAATCTGTTAAATTACTTATTTGTAAGGCGCAACACGTAAGACCCAAGTATCTGTTGCTATAAGGCAGGTGCTTCATGATTGATTCCTGCGAAGGAAACAAGGGTCATGTCGATAGGGTAGCCTAATTATGACTTGTGGAAGATTCTTTTAAGACTTTGTACAGCACATGATTATAGTATCCTTCGCTGATGAAACCGCTTTTTCCATCTGTAATACTGCATAAATACACCATAGAAGGGCCGCCATATCTGAAGGCAAGTCTCCATATTGCGCCTCGAATATTGTCACGAACCAACAATGAATTAGGCAGTCCTAATAAATGACTGAAGCTTGAGGCGGGCCAGCGGTCCTTGGAACCTGGAATCCCGGGGATCAAGATGATGCAGTAAAATCCTTCCCATGGTATATCATGCTCCGACCTCAGACACCGCTTTCAAAGCCCGTTCTATCCGATCACGCAGATCTGCCTCCTCTTCCAGGCCGACACTTATTCTGACTAGACCAAATTCGATACCAAAGGAATTCGCCTGACACTGTTAGTAATTCACAAATAGATGGAGCGAAGGATATGAAGTCGTGGAGTAAATTGTAGAGGTTTACTCACCCAATCTAATTCGCCATAGTGGGCCAACAAAGTATATGGACAGCTTCAGTACACAGTCAGATGGGTTTCGCTGCTTGAGATCTTAATCGGAGCTTCAACCAACCTCAATGTAAAATTCGTTCCAAGACTCGGGCCCTTATGCACTTCCAGTTGATCAAAGAAAGCGATTGCTTCCTCAGTTGAATGGAAAGTGACAGAGAAGAGCCCGCCATACCCCCCATTCTGGGTGCGGAATGCGTCATAGAGAGGTTTGGAAGGGTTGAGTTTTGGATAGTAAACATGTTTGACTATATCAATTAGAACGAGATGGACTTCCGCTGGGTCATCTGAACGATTGAAGATGCATCGCACTGGAGTGAGGGTTAGGCCTGACTTACCCAGTGGCGACTCCAATAACATGTCTGCAATTATTTCTGTGGTTTTATTGATTTTCTCAATTCGAGACGCGAAATCGCGGCTGTTCCGCTCCAGGAAAACGGCATCTTCGGCCCAGACATTGTCCTCATATTCATGAGCAAAAGTCTCTCTCAAAGAATGGTAAAAACATCCATGAGGATTGAGAACTGCGCTTCCTCCCATAACATTGCTATCTCCACTGAATATCTTGGTCAAACTGCTAACCACGATATCTGCAGAAGGGAGAACATTGATATTCAGGAAGTTCCCCACGGTCTCGTCTACCACGACCGCAAAGTCATACTTATCAGCGAGTTGGCGAATTCTTTTCAGGTCCGGAGACTTCAGTAAAGGATTGCCTGGAAACTCTGTAAACAAAGCCAGAAATCGCTCACCGGCTTGCAGCCGTGATTCCAAATCGTCGAGATCCTCCGAAGAACCGTTGCCATAGAACAAACATCCTGGACCCCATTTCTGAAGAATTTTCAGTGAATCAATATAAGGGAACCCGAAACATATGCTTTTCAGTTGGCCTCTGCTAGCCAGCAACATTTGGTGCGTGTTGAAGATAGAGCTCATACCCGTTGGGTAAAGGAAAACATCTGCTTCCGTAAGCCCCGCCACACGGCCTTCCCTTGATGTTTCTTGAAGAGCCTCACTCAGCTCTACATCAGCGGTCAGAACTCCTGCTATTCTTCGACGTACAGCCAATCGTGCCTGGTCAGCAAGCGAGACGTTCAAGTTGCGTCCAAACCTCTCTTCAATGAATTGTACATATTCTTTGCCATCTTGCGCTTCCCCTACGGAGGACAAGTCCCGAGGCTGATTGTGGTTCCCATCCGTTCGTGCTGTTCCACTAATGGAATCACGCCCCTGGTATCTCCGAGGGCCCTTACAGATTCTCCGTAACGCTACATCTGCCGCTTGGGATTTTCTCTCAACGAGAAAGCCACTTCTCAGTGCACCCAGACAGAATTCGCCCCGCCGACTCGATATGCCGTTCCCGGTGTGTTGCCACACCTGCTTGGCAATGGGCGCGAATTCCTTCGGATATATCACAGACGATAACAACAATGTTGTGGTGGGAAATCCGGCATCTGTTTCATGGGAGGGACTAAAACTCGTAATCCGGATCCTGCCGTGGTGTTCGACGGGCAATCTCGATTTCATGAAAGAACGACATAATTCCGCGGTGGTTGTGGATGGGAATAACATGGCAGTATCCGAGTTTGGGGAGCCAAAACGACGCACTATCTCAACCGCCAGCTCTTGTATAATTGGATGTATGAAAAACCGCGGATAGCCGCATTGCATGCTGTTTGTCACCCATGACTCCCCCTCCTCGTAGGCCACATTTGCACTCCAAGTGGGAAGTGATACACTGACTGCCTGATAAAAGGTGAGTGACCATTCATGGATGACTATATCTTGTAGCAATTCGAGAGACAAAATCCCCTAAGAAAGGATAGCGGGGTACGCGGGCCCTGAACTTACATGGTCGGTATTCGGAGGGACAGGGCCTCCGATAATTTGAAGCATTGTGATGATATGATCAAGTGCTGAGATAAAGCTCAAGGGGGACTGAGTGCAGTGAGTATGGAGGGGAGTAAGGAAGCTGCCGGCAAAAATAAATAATTCTTCAATGACGAACGAACACAGTGATAAATAGGAGAAGAAATTCTTAAATGACGACGAATGGGAAGGGAGTCATCGCGGCAGTACCAGCCACTGAGCGATGTCGGCGTTGTTAAGAGTGGCTGACCAATAAACTCAAAGCGCACGAAGTTCGCGGCAAAAGCCTGATTCTACTGCAAGTGGTAGTTGACCTTCTTACTGCCTTCCGAGAGCCATACGGGACATGTCCACTTATATATACTCGATATCTGTACAGTCCAATGCATGTCCAGTGCTTGATAAGTCAGTCTAGACATATATACAAAACATATTTAACTTATACATCTGTGCACTCATATGACCCATATAGTAACGCAATAGAGAATAGTCTATCACAACACTAACAGTATCAAATAACTATTAGTCTATGTACAGTCCATGTGTAAATTGTAGGCTTGATCCACAACAGCATACGGATGTTCAAGTATGCCCGTGGCGGAGGCTCAGAACCAGAAGGCGGTGAAAACGCCGCGGTGGCTTATCCCGCTAACAAGACCAAATCTTTTTTTTTCTCCCCGTTTAGATACAGAAGGCTCCTCATCACTATAAGAGCCATAGTGGGACCGCTAGGACTCACACCCAGCATGGTACATCTTATGATATAGTTTGACTTGCATCTTCTCTCCAAGGACTCGCTCTCTATTCACAACAATCTTTCCTCATCAATTTATCGAATAACAACCCAAGTCCGGTCCCAGCTTCTGGCTCAATATGTCGTCCCATTCAGTTAAACGCAGGCGATTGAGCCATTCTACTCACAACGCTGTGCCAGGTGCTCAAATTTCGGAGAAGAATGGCCCTACCATGAACCTACACCTCGAATCACCACATGAAAGCATGCCCATGAAAGCCACTCAAGACAGCGAAGTACCTGCTGTAAGCACCAAGAGACAAGGGACGCACACTGTCACGGCGGAGTTTGCGCTCGCCAGTGGCGTCTATAAATCCAGCTTCTTCAAGCTGCAAATGGACGAGCTATTGTCTGAGTTGAGGCCAAATTATGATAGGCATGTCGCAAAACTTCAGGGTACACTTCATCAACTGAAGAGCATCATTGAACACATTCCAGAGAAACCACCCCAATCGGCATGGGATGCAGAGAAAGAGCTGCGTAGCAAACATGGAATCACGGTACCCTTTCCTGAGCCGCGGCCTGGCAGGGAAGCGAAATATCCCTTTACATATGCCAAACCCACGAATGTCAATGTGGTGGGCAGTCTATCACTCCAAACCGGAGCCAAGAGCTCCAACCCATTAATGGTAGACTTGGCGGTGACAATGCCCAGCGCTATATTTCAGGAAAAGGACTATATCAATCACCGATTTTTTCATAAGCGGGCATACTATATCGCCACCATTGCCGCTGGAATCAAGGCGGCCGCTGGCCTGAATTTGCATGTCAAGTTCGCACTTCAAGATGGAGACAGCCTCCGACCTGTCATTCTTATCGAGCCGATCACTTCAACTAAAAACATGTCTTCTAAACTACGAATCCGTGTCATTACTGCTATCGAAGAGACTTTGTTCCCTGTTTCACGAACTATACCCCTGAGGAACAATATACGTCAAGGTGCAGCTGATGGCTCCATCTCTGAAGGCGCTACTCCGGTCTATAATGCGTCTCTTCGATCGGAAGCTACGGTGGCACTCTACCACAAATATATCCACTCCAATATCCGCAAATGCGATTCATTCCAAGATGCGTGTATTTTGGGTCGGGCGTGGCTTCAACAGCGCGGATTTGGGTCATCATATCAATCTGGCGGGCTCGGTGGCTTTGAGTGGACGGCTTTAATGTCATTACTGCTTGAGGGTGGCGGCCCTAATGGCAAGCCAGTACTTCTGAAGTCTTACAGCAGCTATCAGCTATTCAAGGCAACACTGCAATTTCTTGCCGGAAGAGACTTGACAAATCCACTAGCGTTGTTCATAGCCGACTTATCATTCCCTGGCGGCTCTCCTGTTTTGTACGATGGCAAGCGAGGATTGAATATCCTTTATAAAATGACTCTTTGGTCTTACGCTCTCCTCCGCCGGGAAGCAGATGTGACAGTGAGAATGCTAAACGAGTCTCGCGATGACAACTTTGACAAAGTATTTATCCTCAAAGCGAACGAACCACTGCTGAGATTCGATCGGCTCATTGAGCTACCAGCCATAGCAAGCGGAAGCAGTCTCCAAGACCTTCAAAGCCAAAACATGATTTACGAAGTGTTGGTTAGGGCACTCGGCGACAGAGCCGGGCTCGTTCATCTACGTGGCTGCGTCACGGAGCCCTGGCCAGTAGACACACGGCACAATTGCAAAACGGCGCCTGGACACCTAATTGTGGGTGTGGTGCTAGATGCAGAGAATGCGACACGTGTTGTGGATCATGGCCCAGCTGCAGAACATAAAGATGAAGCTGCATCTTTTAGGTCCTTCTGGGGAGACAAGGCTGAGCTAAGGCGTTTCAAAGATGGCAGCATCAGGGAGAGCTTGGTCTGGTTGGATTTAGCGACGGCGCCCTCGATCATAAATCAGATATTGTTGTATATCTTGAAACGCCATTTCAATTACACTGATTTCGATATCAAAATTGTCGGTGATGAATTCGACGAGACACTTCGCAACAACGGAGACGGTGTTGTCTCATACTCCAGCCCCTCCTTCCAGAAAATACACGACGCTTTCAATTCTTTGCAGCGGTCTGTTCAGGACATGGATGGAGTACCTTTGACGACCAGGCATCTTGCACCTGCTGATCCGCTTCTTCGATATACCGCTCTTCGTCTAAAGAGTGCACCTAATATGCCTTGTGGTCCCGTGGACATTGTTCTCCAATTTGAGAGCTCCGCTCGTTGGCCGGATGACCTCGTGGCCATACAGATGACAAAGCTAGCCTTTCTTGTGAAAATAGGCGACTATCTACAGTCATCCGGGGCTGCTCATGCATGTAAAATAGGGCTTGAAGATGTCTCAAGCAGAATCTTGAACACTGCATTCCTTGACATCACTCATTCGTCCAATGTCCTCTTCCGCCTCAGAATTCACCACGACAGAGAGCAGTTGCTCTTGGAACGTCATTTGAAGGACAGAGAGGGCCATCCTTCCATGAGACAAGAGCTCGCATACGCTCTGTCTGAATATAAGCGACAATTTGTGCAAGCCCCTCGGCTTACACAGGCAATTCGTACACTATGCACGCGTTTCCCGCTTCTGTCGCCCACGATTCGTCTTGTGAAGCATTGGTTCAGTCAACACCTTCTTACAGAGCAAATTCGAGAAGAAACTGTGGAACTACTGGTTGTTCGAGTCTTCACGCAGCCGTATCCATGGGGCACTCCTTCCAGTATCATGACTGGATTTTTGAGGACTCTTCAGCTTCTTGCGCGGTGGGACTGGCAGCAGGAGGCTTTAATGGTCGATTTTGGAACACTAGACAAGGCTACAGTGGAGGTTATACAGACTCGCTTTTCTGCCTGGCGAAAAATAGATCCGGCTATGAACACGGTCAGCCTGTTTGTGGCTTCCGATCTTGATCCCGATGGGGTGACATGGACTCAATACGAACAGCCTTCTAAGGTAGTGGCGGCTCGCATGTGCACCTTGGCCAAGGCTTCCATGGCAATGCTACGAGATCATGGGTATGGACTTAATACAACCGAGTTGTTCCACACATCCCTAGCCCCTTACGACTTCATCATCAAGCTTCGTTCCAAGCTGCTGCATGAAATCACTACATCGCCAACCACCTTCAAACTTGCTGATAAACGGGAGAAACTCCAGGCTAGTGGACCTGCAGTCGTCCAATCCTTTGTTCATGACTTGCGAGCGTGTTACAGCCCGAATATTCTTTTCTTTCACAGCGAGATGAACCCCGGGGTTGTTGCAGGGTTATGGAACCCTCAAGCTCTTCGAGCCAAAAGCTGGACGTTGAAAATGGCCTACTCTACTTCTCTCACCAAGTTGGAAGATGCAGAAGACAACGTCCAAGTGGTTATCAACCGCCCGGCTATTTTGAACGAAATCTCGAGGTTGGGCAGCCTCATGATAGACAGCATCGAATTACATGGCACAGACAAGAACCTGACGTAGTCATGTTCGATCATGATCATGCCTATTGTGTTACATATACCGAGTTGCATCTCAGTACCTAGACTCAAAGTGACCCGGAGAGTTGACGCCATGCTAATGACAGCACTGAAGGTAATGTGATGGTTCATTGTATAATCTTGGTCTATGGACTATATGTCACTCCGTCCATCCATCCATTCATCCATTATCTCATGCACCGGCTGTCACTTTTTCCGGTTTTCCAACTGGTATCTGGGATGAAAAAGAACAATGCTTGTCTTTGATCGCCACCACCTCATACGTGCCCTCGTCTGATGTTTTGATTATTTTCGTATGCTCGTGGGAGATATCATGTTTGACATCAAGTATCTCAGATTTTTTTCCTTTCCGAGCATTTGAGCTTCGTACATATCTAGGTGGCTATTAGTTGAATGCATCACGTGGATTGAGTAAGGGAGAGACTTACGTGAACTCGAACGGTGGGGTGCCCCAGAACTCGAATTGGAGTTCAGCCTCTCCTCCTTCGTGTATGTCAACGACAGACACTTGCCCTTTGCTGATCCTCACACTTGGCATTTCGTGAATTGTTTTGGTAATACTCTTGTGGGCTTTACACTTCCCACTGGCACCATCACTTACAGCGGTGATACTGAAAATGCCTGGTTTCTCTGCGATGCGACGGAAATTTGTGGTCTTCGAGGTGGCCTTTCTCGAAGCGCCATCGAATGTATAGAACACATCGAACGGGGCATGGCCAGATAATGAGAAGGAGAGTCTTTCGCCCACGCAGTAGTCTGATTTTGATTCCAGTGGGATTATGGTTGGGACATCTGACACTGAAATTCTGACTGAGGAGGCATCGTACTCGGTGGTTTGCTGGCAGCCACGTGCATCGGTCACTTTGCGAATGCTGACAACATGTTGGCCAAGATCCAGGTGACGTCGTGGTAATGGGAGATGGTGTCTGTTGGCATTAATGTTGGAAATCGATACTATTTCCGGTTTTGCTTTCGTGTGATGCTTGATAGAGATCTCAAGGGAGAAAGGTGCGACGCCCTCGAGGGTGATGGGAATCAATTCCTCGCCGCTGACATCTTCCTTGCAGAACCCATAGATACGGCCTGGCGAATCAAAACGTGCGGAAGGGAGAGGATTCACTTTTTGGGTTACTACCACGGGTTTGACTCCGGGATCCTGATCGTAGAGGTTGTCGCCGACCTCCGTGAATTTGTAAGTATACAAACCGGCTTCCAAGGTATCCATTTCCACCGAGGCGGCATGAAGGGCAGTTCGTATGTTTTGGACGCGAACAGAGGATGAACCGCGTGCAGGCTTTCGTTGTTGCTCGTATTGGATGCTATACGGGGCATGTCCGGAGAGTCGAATTTCGAGGCTGTCGTCATCTCCCTGGCAAACATCTCGTTTCGTGATCAAACCGTCTGATCTGACAGGGAAGCCATCCACGGTTGTGATTCGAGGACGAGGTATCCAAGAAACCTCGAATGTGCTGCCCACCTGGTCGACAAAACCAGGACACGAGCTGTCGGCCACACCAAGAAGTTCGTACCTTCCATCCTGTGTCACGGTCAGGAAGCTATTCTCGTGCCAGAAAGTCTTTTCGAGGATAGCAGAGCTGGCGTTCAAGTTTCTGTACTTCACGTTCCAGGGACGTTCTCCGCTTAACCTAATCGGTATATCGACGCTGGAGCGCTGCAAGGCCGAGTATGCTCTGCTTCTCTCTATCTCGCCAAATGACACATGAGGAGGTTTGGAACGTGCGTCAATCCTGATGCTGTCCTTGAGCGTTCGCTTGCAGTTCGAGCGATCTTTGACACTGGTGAGCAGAACCAAATACTCTCCACCGCTGACGAGCCTTTCCGTCACAATAGTGGATATTTCATTGTCAGATTCCAAGGAGTACTTTGTCTTCTTGCCATTGTGGACCACCTCATACTGCAGTGTCCAGGGGGCCTCGCCTAAGAAAACAACATCAAGAGATACTGGTTCGCCGAAACAAGCTTTACGCACAGCCTTAGACCCCATAAAGTGTGCAGAGGCTGGTGGTTTCACATCTTGCTCGAGAACAGGGACCTTGTCCTGAAGAGATTGGGGGCCATAGACTGTGTCTGCAATGTCTAGAAAGCGGTAACGATACAGACCGGCTTCAGAGGGTGTGAAGTCAAGTTGAGCGCGGAGACCATCAATGGTATGTGCTCTGGTTTCAACGCCTTTCGCATGTTCGATAACGTACCGAAGCCGGAACGGCGGAGATCCAGTCAAATCCAAGTCAACAAGTAGACCGACAGGATTATTAGCACATTTGTCGAATACTCTTTCATACTTGACGGTCACGTCAGGCTCCGGTGGGTTGCGTAGGTAACAAGATGAAGGCTCAAGCACTTCTCCGGTACAATATTGACTGGAAAGAGAATTCAGCCTGTACCAACCCGGGTCCTTGACCTGAGGCTTTTGGTCAAGATTCCTCAGAGATGCCTGGCGTATTTTGCTTGGAGACTCTCCGTGACCCAACTGAGTCTCACCATTGAATGTGTAGACCAGAGAGAAGGGCCCGTCGTTCTCGTATCCTTGTCCTGATTGATGATATTCAAGGGGAAGGTCCACGCTTGCCCCATGTGCGACTTCAAGAAAACTCTGATCATTGCAGCCGGACAAGGAAAGTCGAGGCCTTTCATGAACAGAGAATTTATGCCACTGCGATGGAAAATTTGTAGATAATTTGTCGGCGATATCCAAAAGCATTGAATAATTCGCGATGTTCCCAGAACCGTCATGGATTTCCTCGATCGTATATGTCCATTCGCCGCCAACGCTAAGAGACTCGTTCAAAGGGACCTCAATGGTTTGGCTGCGGGCCCAAGTCACGTCGAAGTCTTTCGCGTTGAAGAGAGTGCCGCTTGTCCGCTGGCCTAATAATGGCGAACGCAGATGATCGGGCTGAATGTTCTGGAAAGAGAAGCCCCGGTCATGACTGTTGACCTGCCTGCTGTATTTGATTTTGAGGGGAGGAGTGCCCTCAACCACCAAAAGCAGGTTCGAAAGCTCTCCTCGACATTTGTGGATCGGGGAATCCTTGATTGTTGCCCGAGGGCACGAGGCAACGAGAGCGTCAGATGATCTCATATGAACGTCGAGATTTGACTCATCTACTACTCTTTGCAGCCGATATATTCCGGGTCGCTTGACAGAGAACATGAGATCACGATGGGCATTGGACCCCGTTTTCGGCACAGTTTTTTCTGCTTGGCGCTTCATCTGTTTCAGCTGCTTTGCTGATATTGAGATGGTTTCATTGCCACCGGTGTCATAATCCAGGCGTATCAGCTCTATCAAAATTGGATCGGTCTGGTTAATACGTATAGGTAGATCGATAGCAGTTTTGTGATTATCGATACAGAGAGGTATGTGATCAGGATTTAAGATTGCCGAGCTGGCATAGTGCGGTTAGTAGAGCTCGAAGTCACCTGAGATTCAGAGACTCACCCCTCTGGTAGTATATGGACGATTTGCTTGCCCAATATAAGAGACGCGTTGTGGATAATGTCGCCCGGTTTGACACTCCGTTCTGATATAGACAATTCCCTATCATAAGCTAGTTTGATTGCTCCCGAAACCCAAGCACCCACAGGAATCTACAAGGATGTCAGTCAAGGCCCCGTTGATGTGCGCGGCGTGAGGTCAAAAGCATACAGGGATCTGAAACATGAGAAAAATGTTTCCAGCAACATGAATCAAGAAGATCGCTAGTGTTGTAGGGAAAGCCCATTCTAACCAGGGAATTCGGAGCGCCTGCAAGCCGAAAAGGAAGACGCCATCGACAGCTGCCCATTTGAGAAAGAGCCAGGTCGAATCTAGATCGTCAGATGCAGTCCAGGACTCGTACACGCGCCAAGTATTGAGGGCCAGGTAAAAAGCCGCAACGTAAAGTCGCTGCGACGGGGCGTCGATGACATTAGCCGGTATTAGGGGCGGGTTTGCAGCAGATAGGCTCGTAGCGACTTTCGCAGACGACTTCTGGACTACCCCATTGTGCAACCTAGGCCTAGACGGGGTATGACTACTGTGGTTGCTAAATCTCGGAGCGGGTTGTGGTGTCTGCGGAAAAGCAGACCGGAGCCGGGGAGTGCCGTTCATGGCATGCTGCAATCATAGAGCATGCGGGAGCTGCACCCAGAAGGACTTTGGGGTTAGCTTCAGCATTATTGGCTGATAGGATTCCGAGTATAGAGATACCTCCGTGTGTGGGTGTGGGAGATGCCTCGTCCTGTGAAGCCCGCGCACGCCCTGATGCAAGCCTAAGATAGAAAAGTTGAGGTAGGGGTCGACTAAAGAAATGGGTGAAGACGAAGGTGAACGTGATATCAGGCAGGACGAAGAGAGATGTCGCTCACCTCGTAATATGTTTCCTCACCCGAAATAGAAAATGAGGAAATTGAGCGAAGGGATTGAGTTGCAGCGCAAGGTACTGAGCCAGGGCGAGAGGTGAGCTTGAGTCGATGGAATGAATGCCTTTGCGCTTGTTGCAGGGCTTGAAAGCAACAATGGGTTGGCGGTCAACAGCACAGTACGTAATTCGCTCCACGCCAGCGGATATGTATTGTTACGGTAATAGTACACTACATACCACGATCTGCCTAGGCATGAAGTCGTCACCGGTGCCCTCATTGCAACATAGATAGCGACAATGAATAGTTAACAAGCACTGCTCATTACACCTTTACCAAAATATACACGGCTGTTAGCCGCATGCTTCTGCATGATTGAGATTACAGTCATCTCCTTCTATCTTGGCTACCTGGAGAGAGCCTAATTGGCACGATCATTGTAAGTTGGCCGAGCTGTATGTACGGTACTGTGCAGCATCCATATCGAGGGTTTGTTCAGCCGCTCATGAATCCTATCTTCTGCGAAAGACAGCAGCAACCACCGCACCTGAGCTGTTATTCAAGGTACTTCATGAGGCGAGACAACTTCTCCATAGCAACTCAAGCAGCAACCAAGGGAACCGTTCTCATAGCTTAGCAATTGTTGATCAATTGGCATTTTTCTCAAGTACAGTACGACCTTTGGAGCAACCATGGCCCATTGCGGCCGGAGATCGCAATCATCAGGCAAAGAGTGCAGTGACCGTAGCCATGAGCTCTGTGTGCTTACCTCCAGGGTCGAAAAAGATGACTGGAATGGTTTCTGCGAACTAGAGTCCGAACCTGTAAGTTCTGGGACACGATTCTTCGGAAGCTATGCTGAACAACCTTTTTAGGCGCTCTTCAACGTCATGCTTCGCGAATTCGGCGTTAAGGGGGTGAAGATCCAGGAGGTAATATCATTGGATGAGGATATGATGGCGATGCTGAAGTGAGAGTTCTGTGATCCATGCATTGCATAATTTATGGGCGGTTAACTAGTTTGTTAGCAAGCCGGTCTACGGATTGATATTCTTGTCCCGTTGGCGGGAGGACGACCCCGACAAACAAGAAGCAAGTTGTCCAGAAGGGCTCTGGTTCGCAAATCAGGTCTGCTTGTTCCAACCTGTTTGATGCCAGTAGCCGGATTTATCATCACTGACCATAGACATAGACGGCGAGTAACGCCTGTGCCACTGTTGCTCTTCTGAATATCGTCAACAATGTTGGAGATATTGACCTCGGGGAGAATCTGCAACACTTCAAAGAATTCACTATGTCCTTCACGCCGGCGCTCCGAGGTGATGCAGTAAGTAACTATGGATTCATTAAACGGATACACAATTCGTTTGCGAGGTAACCATGTTTCGTAGCCTGCCTTCCTTACAATGGTAGTTCTGACATTTGGAAAAAGGCGAATGGATATCCTCAATGCTGATCACCAGCTCAAGTCAGAGACAACATCAAAGCGATCTCGCACCCAATGCGAGCAAGAGGAAGCCGACATGGCTTTCCACTTCATCGCCTATGTCACTGCGTTAGGGAAAGTCTGGAAGTTCGACGGGTTGGAACGTCAACCGCAAGTGCTTGGTATGGTGCCCGTGGCCCATAGCAGCCCATTCTAATAGTATCCACGTATAGGACCTTGTCAACCTGACGAGGACTGGCTGACCTTAGCCAAGCCCAGCATTCTCACAAGAATGAAAGAATACGAAGAAGGTCAAATCGAGTTTTCGATGTTGAGTCTTGGTCAGGATCCGCTCCCTGGACTGCTTGACAGATTAGCAATAAACGTGAAGTCTCTCGAAGTAATCAACCAACGCTTGACATCATCGGCTGATGCATTGCCATTCGATGCTATCAAACTCGGGCATATCCTTTTGGGGCCTGATGAGTCCTATACACTCTCTAGAGATATGATCGATCGAGCAATCATTCCTGCACCACAGGAGCAGGAGAACCGCACTTGTGCAGTCGCGGACCTCAAAACCCTATGGCACAAGCTCACTGGCAATCAGCGCACACTCCAAGCGTCCATTCGGGAAGAACAACAGTCTAGGCAGGCTGATGATGAGTACGCGGAAGGTCGGCGCTTTGACTATAGTCCTGCCATCCGCACATGGCTCCGACTCCTAGCCCGCAAGCAAGTCATTGAGAAGCTGTTGTGAACTCTCGGGAATCTATTTTTGAAGTTAATCATTACAATTGCAGTGCGTACATTATTGTAGACCAAGCAAGGCTATTTCCTTTTTGATTATATAAGAATAGTAGGCCATCATCGAAAATCTTAACAGTGACGTACGGACTGACCGCCGGAGGTTGCCCCCCGCCCTACTAGTATAAGAACGTCACCGCCTGGAGTCCAGTGCGCGCCCGCCGTCGGTGATTGTCCTAACAAGTCCCGGTACAAAGGGGGTTATTGTCATTAGACCGTGCTGGCATCGATTCTCTCTTTTTGTGTCCTCCTGGCTGGTCCTTCTGTGCTTGTCCCGCTCACAAGAAGCCCTTGCCCCTGGCTTTGCGGTCCTCTTCCTTTCTTCCAAATATTCTCGAGTTTTCGAGACTTGGTCGCAGCACTTTTGGGGGTGAGTTGACAAAAGGACAAACCAGCTTCTATTACCTCTTTCCCACTTGCTTTATACACGCCTACTTTCTCTCTCTTTGTCTAATCCTCACCTATTGAATCACGCATATACTATAACCGTTCTCATAGTATCTCGTATTTCGCAGTTCAGCGCGACCCCCCCTTCAACATGTCCGCCACATCCTCCCTTACATCTGAAAAGACACCAGATGATTCATCCAAGCTAAAGACGTTCTTATCCATTCTCCGAAAGTATTCAGGCCATTCTCATCCCTAAATCTGATCGTACTGACTAGTGACCTCGTCCTCTAGGTTTGTCGGAGTGGCTGACATCGCCTCCGTCCGCTTCTCCTTGCCTGCACATCTCCTGGAGCCGACGCCCAACTTGGGTAGGTCGTTATCCTAGCCAGACGGCTAAATGCCCCCCTCGCGGCTGAGCACTCCGTTAATTTCTTGCGAATGACTGCAGAGTACTGGAATTACTTGGATAGACCGGAGGCTTTTGCAAGGTCAGCGGATTGGGTTGCCCATCAATGGGGCTCGTTTTCTGACAGATCATGAACAGCATTGGGCAGTCGGATGAACCTCTGGGACGGATGCTTGAGGTTTTGAGATTTTGGTTCACCAAGGACTTGGTATGTGTCATTCTCGGTTGCTGTTCAGCTTGGTGTTAAACTGTATTACTAAGTTTGATTACAGAAATACATCAAGGGCAAGCCCTGCAAACCCTATAATTCCACACTCGGAGAATTCTTCAGGGTGAGCCCGATCCGACGCAATCTGAGCTCTCGCTTTCATGTTAACCTAAAATCCTGCTCAGTGTACCTGGGACGTGCAAAGTACACTTCCAGAAGTTTCACTGGCTTCTACTTCTAGTATCATAGATGCGACTCTCAGCTCGAAGGAAAGCGATGGCAAACCTGTCAAGGTATGCTACTTGACAGAGCAGACATCTCATCATCCTCCAGTATCAGCATTCTACATCGACTGTCCAGTGCGAGGAGTGACGGCTCGTGGTTTTGATCAAATCAGTGCCAAGTTTACAGGGACCAGCATACGAGTCACTCCGGGCCAACACAACTTGGGAATTTTCATCAATATCCAGAGCAGGAACAATGAGGAGTATCAGTTGACTCATCCCGCTGCACATTTAGGTGGATTGTTAAGAGGAGCTCTGGCCGTTACAGTCTCGGATACGTGCTATATCACTTGCGCTCACACGCGCATCAAAGTCATTTTACAGTATCTGGAAGAGGGTTGGATCGGCCGTGCTCAGAACAGAGTTGAGGGCGTCATCTTTCGGTATGACCCTGACAGCGATACTATCACAAGGATCAAAGACGTACCTCATGAGGATATCCTTGCCAAGATCAGCGGTTCGTGGCACGGGCAACTTTTCTACACTTTGAGTGGCTCGAACGAGGCGAATTTATTGATTGACATCGCTCCTCTCTTTCCGGTTGCAAAGACCTTACCGCCTGATGAGGAGCAGCTCTCCAACGAATCTCGAAAGTTCTGGTCGACGGTCACTGAGGCTATTTTGGACAAGAGATATAACCAGGCAACCAAGCTCAAGCAGGATATAGAGGAACGCCAGCGGCAAAGGGCCGCTGAACGTCAGAAGATGAACGACACATGGCAACCGCGGTTCTTCACTGGCGCCGTAACGCCTCTCGGTAAGCCTGAATTAACCGATGAGGGAATGAGGGCACTTGAAGGATTATATAATCATGACTACAAGTTACAAGAGGGTGAAACAAAAGGCGCATGATCGCTAGAACACCATGGACTGTTCAATGACAACAATTTGGACAACTGAATATTGTGGATGCATTCGCCATACCGCTTCAACATCGAAGCTTTGTTTTATGTCGTATTTGTGCCTTCACGTTCTTTGGGAAACGAAGACAAAGCATAGGTAGGGCTGTCCATCGATCGGGTTGTCGATGCTGAGTTCGGCAGGTGTCATATATATAGTATAAGATTATTCCAGGTAGATAGACAATTCTAATATCACCATGTGGCGCAGCGAGTGAATGCCAGGGCTGGACCACAACTGTCTCCCGTGGAGCTCTTTTCGCTGAGCGAAAATTAATCATTAAAACTCGATCTAATCTTCACTGAGAACTGGAAGCGTAAAACCGTAGTAGATTGTTGCTGAGAATTTCGACACCGAGAAGACACTTAGAATTAAACCGTTCTGAAACCAACTTAGCAAGGGAAACGCCTTTCAAGTACCTGGTTTCAAGATCGAGTGTACCTGTCCATTTAGAACTCCATCCGAACCGGACCGATAACATGTGAGAACCATCCAAGAATGAGGGAGGATAGAAAAATGAAGCGGCATCGGAGCGGCATTGCTGCGAAAGATAGCCCAGGCATCTCAGGCATTTGCAGTAACAACCTTATTGAAGCCTGCAGTCACTGTTCTGGTAATGTCCTCATTCTTGTGGGGAAGTAGAGACAGGGCATAAGCAACGTCGTTCCATTGGCGTTCAGTCTCGCATCTTGGCAGTCGAGCAGCTAGTTTCTCGGCAAGTTGTCGTGCATGTTTCTCCTGATTCACGAGGCATTATTAGCATTTTCCACGGCGAAGTGATGAAAAAGAGACATGATGCTTGGAGATGTACCTTTTCGACGAAACCAACCAGGAATTTAACGATGCGTTTCAATGAAGTCTCCTCCAGGTTGCGTTCCGCGCTCAGCAGGCTGAACATGTCCACAAAGTGATTATAAACAGCGTTGTCCTTGGTGGCCAATTCTGTGAAGAACATACGTGCCAAGTCGGCAATTCTCTTATCCTCATCTTCGAGGCACTTGGCCATTTCGCCCAACTGCCCCTTGACCTTGACCTGGCCCGCCAGGATCAAGAACGTGAGAGTCATGAGGCACGTGCGTTTTACCGAAACATCGTCATCATTCAAGCGACGATAGAGAAAATCAGTGTTCTCATCAATCAGGTGGTTGAAACAGACTGCCATGTCTCCAAGAGCGATGACGACATTACTGCGAACTATGGGGTCATCTGAACGCTCCATGATGGTGATTAAAAGTGGAAGATTTTTCTCGCAGTACTCCGCCGAAACACACATGAGCTTAGCCATGCAAAGAGTTGCCGCTGCTTGAAGGTCTCGGTCAGAGTATATGTTGCTGTTGGCGCAGATCTCCGTGACCAAGGGGCCAAAATTGGAAAGCAGCGACTTGTCTCCGTAGAGCAACTCCCTCTCACGAATATGAGCCATGGCGTCTGTGAAGTCGTCCTCGGTTGTCCCGCCGATAAGATCTAATTCATCCTCCTCTTTGGAATCTTTGTGTTCTGATGGTTGCGCAGGTTTGTTCTTTTCCTGTTCTGCCTTGCGGCGCTTAAAGTCAAGCTCACACAATTCCAGGTGAACGATTTGCTTGATCGCGATATGGCCGACAACAAAGAGCAGCTGTGACAAACCGGCGGGGGATGTCTTTGGCCCTGTTGCTTGGCTCTCGGTGGGAGTGATGCCAGGCTGTTGTTCCTGTCCTTCACCAGGTGCTTGAGAACAAGACCTTTGAGCATGAGTCTGGAAGACAAATCTAGTCTTCCGTTTGAGAATGTCAGAACATAGCACATCTGGATGCTTCGATAGTGTATAGATGGCGCTAATAGCTTGCTCCGCCACTCCGTACCACTCTTTGCTCATTGATACAATCTCTATGATAGCCGCGAGGTTGGAAAGGACTGGATGATCATTTGCCAACTTAGGTATGCCAATGTCTTTTGACTTTGCCTGACGGCCCGGCACCATCCGACGTAGAGCAGTGCATGTATATTTCGCAAGCACAAGGTCGGATCTTCCGAGATTTCCAAGACCAATCCGTAGCATCGTCTCGAGCTCCTTAATGACAACCTCAGGGTCCGCCAAAGCCAGCATGCCAAGGACAATGATGGCTCCTCGACGTTGTGTCTTCGAGATTTCCTTCTTTTGCACGCCGTATACTTGCCACAACTTCGAAATGACGACTTCAGGTATGTGGCCTGCCTTCATCATGGTGCTCAATAACTGTTCTAGACAAGTGAGCTCAGCAGGTGTTGCGCCAAAGGTCAAGCTAATCATATTCCGTGCTATGTAATTTGCAGCATCATTTGGACTGAACGAGTCCGGTGCTTCGAAGAAAAGCCCCTTGTAGCAGTCGATCAGATGAGTTTGGACTCCCTTGCCTTCATCACTGTTACCTTTTGTCCAGATAAGTCGCAGCATTCGGCGAATTCCACTACGGGAAGTCTCAACCTTGTAGGCATCAAGTACGACGAAGAAGTCCATGGCTTCAATAGCCTCACTTTTGTTCCTTGACGATAAGAGCTGAGCAACAGTAGCAGAGGCCACGTGAAGGACTTCAATGAAGCGGATGGCCTCGTTGTAATATTTTCTTGTTAGCTGGAGTCGTGTGAGCAGTTCTGACGTTGCCGCCTGTTCCGCGGCATGCTTGATTGCTGCTGCTTTCTGTTCCTCAGTCAGACGTGTTGTTTTGGCTGGAGACTCTTCTGGCAATTGAGTTGCATCATCCAATAATACACTATCAACATGGGATGCATCACCACCTTCAAAGCCCTGTGTTTCAGGGGGTCTCAGCGCATTCAGCTCAGCATCTACTCCATCGAGCCGTGCTGCCCACTCTTTAAGTGAAAGCTGCCCTCCATGCATGACACCGAATGGATGGGTTGAGACCAATTTGGCGAGTAGTTTGATAGCGTTCCGTCGTACATTGCTGCTTTTGTCTTCCAGACTTCTCGCCGCCAGCTCTGCAACTGCATGCCGTCTTTTCGGAAATTTTTGCTCCAAATCGCAAATTCTCATATATACCTGAATGGCCCGGCATCTGCAGTAAGGATTAATGTCAAGAAAGCGTTCCTCTAGAACGTCGAAGAAAGCGTTTATCTGGGTTTTGTAATTATCGCCCCGTTCTTCTTGCCGACTGAGGTCGGATATCAAATTTCCGCAGACTTCAATCACTGCGCATCTCAGGGTGTAGGCCTACATAGAAACATGAAAGTGTTAGAGTATTAGCGTTCTCGTCGGATTGATGAGAGGCCGAACCTCGCTGTCTAGCTGTTTAGCTAAGAGAGTCATCTGCTTAATGATCAACCGAGGTGCTAGCTCTGAGAGTTTGATGATGAAAGAGGAGACAGATTTCGGTCCGCGGGTATCATTGGAATTGAACTCTTTGTTCCCAAGCTCCCTAGCTTCCGTCAGTAAATGCACAAGAAGGGCAAGGCAGCGAATGTCTACTTCAATATCTCATCCGAGAGCTGGGGGTAGTCATATTGTTCCGCGAGGATGTGCAAGAATTCTGCCATCGGTTCGGACAAGTGCTCAAAATATGTCAGGCTTTGTACAATAGATGTCTGGGCCCCTAGACGTTCGTATTAGCGGTAGCTATGAGCTTCAGGTCGAAAAGCCCACCAAATGCATGTCCGTGGTGTTTCACCGCGATGCAGAGGACCTTGAAGGCATGCATCCGAATGCTCATGCTCTTAACGCGCTGCTCACTCTCCAGGATCAGATAGATTGAGCGGGTGAACAGGTTGATGAATGTATCGCGGTCTGAAGTTGTCAAGAAAATCCTGCCCAGTTTAAGTTTCATCACCTTGCACATGGTTTCCATTGCAGCTTGAATCTGTGCTGTCCAGTCCCAATTTCCATCCTTGGTATTGGCCTTAGATTTGGTAGATTTGCCTGCGCCTCTCCTGGCAGGAGCAGCCTCCGTTGGCTTTTCAGCGGCTTTGAGCTCAACAGCCGAAAAGGCCCACTGCAGTAGGAACCCGTACATCTCCAATAAGGTTTTATGCTGCTGGATTGCGTCCTGCTCGTCAGATTCGAGATCGCCATGGATAATATCTGCTTCTACCGAGAGGCCGGAAACGACAAGATCGAGGAGTTTGCTTAGAGTTCGGGTGGGGAAAAAGACGGAGTATCTATGGGAATATAAAGGATCAGGTCCAGACCCATGGGCAATGACAACTTTGAAATGGGGAGGGAGGGTGTTGGCCCGGTCGTTCAGGACATACTTCAATAGGAATTGCAATGAATCATAGAAAGATCCCCTAGCGAGGCCTTCCGGATGCTCAGCAATGGCATCCACGATCGGATTAAGAACGTTATCGATAATGACGGGTGACAATTGATCTGGGTCGGTTTCGCAGTCGAGCAGGTCGGGATCGGCATCGAGCGTAGGCACGGAGGCCGGATCGCTTAAATAAAATTTGAGCGAGTCATTAATGTCGAACTGAATGCGATCTTCCATATTGAGTGACGAGCGAGGGAGGTCCTCGCAGGACACGCGACTTCAGTGGACAAAAGAGGGCAAGGTGAATGAGAAATCTTTATTGCGAAGAATGGTGATTGATACTCCAGGTGGGGAAATGGAAGGACGGGAGAGAGGAGGGGAAGAAGAGGAAACGCGAGCCCGAGAAACCAGGCGGCGACAGGCGGGCGTGAAACCGTAGTTTGTTTGTATTTTTCCCATTTGGGGGTGCTGATAAGGGCACGGGCACACACTGCACTGCGCCCGCGCTGTCGGAGTACTCAATACAATATCAGGTTGAATGGGGACTTCCAACGCGATGAGTTACCGGTGACACGTACCATTTTTGCCTCTTTTGGTAGGCGGTATGGTACGATCGGGGAACCGGGCACACTTCTATCATTACAAGTACGTATAAGCAAACAACTCACTATACCGGAACGGGTGATTCTGTACCGCTGAGACGGTGGATTGAGCAGCCCTGATGGAGCATCTCCGACCAAACCCTCCCCTCCCTCCGATCTCTGACTACTGGTAAGTACAGTACTAATCCGCGACGAAACATATACCAATCGTCAACACGAGAAGCTGTGTGCTCTTTCGTCATCACTTTCCCGAAGTTGAACCTGCTTGCATGCTGGCATCATATACCGACTAAGCCTTGGCCCAGACTTCGCAGTCGCGCCAACTATTGCCGCGCGCGCTTTGGTGCAATGTCCGCCTTACACGCAGCGCCGACTGAATTTTTTGGTGTTCAGCGGCCAGAACCATCTGGCTCAGTCTACGATTATGAACACCGGGATGGGATCGTGACAAATAGCGAGTCGTCCCTGGAGAATATGCCAGATGAGAATGGCTTGGAAGAATTTGACCCCCATGATGAGGAAGACGTTGACGATTCCGTGAAAGAGGATATGAAGCGATTGGAAGACACCTTCCCAGGGATATCTGATCGCTTTCGGCTAGTCAATCGAATAGGTGAAGGTATGGTGTGAATTAAATGGCTATCCTACGATGTTTCCGGTGGTGTCTGAGAACCTTCTAACTCGGTACGAACCTCAACTAGGGACGTTTTCGACTGTCTACAAAGCGGAGGATCTTCTTTACGACCATTATCAAAATGACTGGGACACATTCCAGGACATCCGAGATGACAACTTGACCAACCTTCCAGCGAAGCGACGCCGGGTCGAAGGAGAAAGCAATCGCATATTCTCTGTGAAGCGACGAAGACCGCGATACGTTGCTTTGAAAAAGATTTATGTCACAAGCAGTCCGCTACGCATTCAAAACGAACTTGAATTACTGCATGATCTTCGGGGTTGCCGATCAGTATGTCCATTAATCACTGCGTTCCGCTATCAGGATCAAGTCGTAGCAGTCTTGCCCTTCTTTCCGCACACCGATTTCCGTATCCAATATCGTACATTCATGGTTGCCGACATGCGACATTACTTCCGATCCCTGTTCACCGCTTTACATTCAGTCCACAAGCATAACATTCTCCATCGTGACATAAAGCCGACGTAAGAACATGCGTTCCGATGCCCAGCCCCGTTGCCTTGGATCTTTCGGTGCATTGATAAGGTACTGATCATCACGTTTTCAGTAACTTTCTTTACAATCCTGAACTCCGAGAGGGTGTACTAGTGGATTTTGGTCTTGCAGAAGTAAGTACAGGCGCCCTCACAATCACCCATGGCACGTGATTCAATTGCTGATGCACTTTCGCAGCGCGAGGGCTCGGAGTACACTGGTACCTGCTTGTGTGCGAATTCTAGCCAGATACGTCGCAGTCGATTTTTTCAGAGCTATTACTATACTAATTGCGCCTCATCTCTGAATAATACACCTGTGGGGTACCCAAAGAACGACTCCCGGCCTTCGAGGCGCGCCAATCGAGCAGGAACCAGGGGTTTTCGCGCACCCGAAGTCCTTTTCAAATGCACTTCACAAACTACCAAAATTGATATGTGGTCAGCTGGCGTCATTCTTTTGACCTTACTCGGTCGTCGATTTCCATTTTTCAACTCAGCTGATGATGTCGACGCTATGATCGAGATGGCAAGCATCTTTGGCACACGCCGCATGAAAATTGCGGCAGCCATGCATGGGCAGATTTTCGAAACCAACATCCCAACTATAGGAGAAAAGGGTTATAGCTGGGAGAAGCTGGTGAAATGGGCGAGTTGCGTGGAGGAGCTGACTGAGAGCGAAAAACAAGCCACCCGTCTCTTGGCTGGACTCATGGAGCTGGACCCTAACAAGCGTCTCAGTGCTAAAGAGGCCTTGCAACACGAGTTCTTCACTGATCCCATAGATCATGACGTGGAGTGGGGTGGAAATCCGGATGATAGCGGAGATACCGGCGAGGAGGGTTATAGGGAGGATGATGAAGCAGATGATGCAGCAGATGAGGTAGCAATGATATGATATCCTCCAAAGGGGGGAGGGGACAGATGTACGGTAACGGCAATGAATACTCATGAAGCCCCGGCGCTCGACCACAAAGAGACCACCAGCTACCGGGCCACTCAGATTTCCCATAAACCTTTGGAGTCCGTTATCAGAACAATCAGAATGAGCATTTCGGGGGTAAACAGGAATGACAAGAGGCGAAACCAACCCCACGACTCGTGACAACTAACTCCGGACAATGCTTAAAAGAGTTCGAGGTCTGAAGCAAACGATCTCAAGGGTGGTAGGGTGTCTACTTGCCCACAAGTGACGAGTAAGGAATTGTCATGACAATAGGTGCCAAGCTACTTTGAACCTAAGTTTTAGCGATGCATACGTAAGTCGATACTCGGCGAAGATTCTCGTCGCTTTCAATTAGCCTCTCCGAAATCGACATGCCCAGTCTGTTCTGCATGCTGTGTAGCGCCTCTTTCGCCCACAAAAGTTCTACCGCACGTATTGCAGCGCAGACGAAACCCGGCAGTATCTGTGTAATAATGCCGCTCTTGCAGAACCTTGCACAAGGCCAGGGACTTTTTCAGGACCAAAGGGTCGTTGGCGTCAAAGACTTTGGTATCGAATTCGGCGGGGACGTCTGCATGGGTATACGGCGGACTTGAAGGCGACAGGGCAATAGTATCGTAGTGGATGCCCGAATAGACCACGATGCACCGCATTGAAGGACCCTCGTTGAAAGAATCGACCCGCAGTGTTTGCACATCAATCGAGCAAATCTCGATGTCAAAATGTTTACTCAATATGCTGAGCTCGATGCCCCCGCCCCAAGAGTCCTCATTCTGGATCCATTGACAGTAGTCGTCCGGCTTTTTTTCCAGCACCGCCTCGGTATATAGGTCCGGGTTTGCCTGTATAGTCTGTGCAACAACAGATCGTAGCTCAGTCATCACATCTACACCAGCCATGGTCGCGCTACTGATGGCGCGGAATAGGCACGAGTTATCGTCAGGCATGATCCGGAGAACGAAGGTACCATGATGTTCCGGTGATGGAATCTCCGGCGGGTCATCAGAGCCCTCATTCGGAGTCTTCTCAGCGAGCAGCCCGTTCAGCGGTTGTTGCCGATCAGTAGCAGTCTCGTGTTGATCGCGGCTCGTGTCAGAGGGGAGGCTGCCTTCTTTCCTCGTGACAATTAACTGTTCCCCATTCAGAGTCATCCCCAGGTCGGATAGTTTCTGGTTAGGTGGGAAGCCCTCTAACGAGAGAGGCTTGATTTGTGGATACCCATATTTCACGTCGTAATCTGATAGTCCGGTTGACTCTGTGATTTGTCTGCGGAGTACATCGACAGTTGCATCGTCATCTAGAGAAACGGTCGACTGTCCAGTCGGACCGCGTATTCGGATTCTCATTGTGGCTCAAAGCGAAGACAGAAGAACAAGTGTGTGTATATTTAGATGGCATTTGACCACTAGCTGGGCAAAGTAGTCTTGTAGCACTAGTCTGGGTCGATCAGATGTTGCTGTGAGTTTTGCGGATAAGCATTTATATAAGTAGGTTGAGGTAGGTCAGGTAACTTATCCCTGGTTGACTGGAAGGTGGGGCATGGCTGGCGGGTGCGCATCTGCTGAAGTCGCTGGCAGCAAGTTGCACGATCAAACTCGGCCCTAGGGTATTTTCTATCACTTGAACGCTAGTCAATAGTATACTTGATTTCGATTCAACCGCAAAGCTTTCTCGCTGGGCGTATGCAGGAGGATTTGGGCAGTTTCAGGAAAAGATGCCAGCCATGAAGCCTGAACTCCAGCTACCGATTAAGCAGCGCGGAGGCTTGGAGCCAAAATTGTGCAGCCAAAGCCTGAACTGTATAAGTACTCTTATTTGATTTGAGAGGTAGACTACAGTACAACCAGCGGGAGGCAAGGATACAAGATAATCTATATTAATCGATCGGATTTCCCCCCAGAATTCCTAGAGGGCAGGATATATCACTCGCTGGCTATGTGTTTTTTTCGATCAGTGTGCATACTTGTGAAACGGTATCTTACCAGGGAGGACAATGTTGTTCTATCATTCACAGCCGTATTACAGTATTTAAACCGTTATGATACACATAGGCTGACTCAGCAGAGTTGGTGAATGAATCTCGCCCTTCCTGCTTCTTTGCACACTCTCTCCTTGTTCTATGTCGCATCCTCCTCATATCACCCTCATTTGCTGAATTCGAAGAAAAAACCCCTTTTTTTCACGCTGGTGGTAGATATTCCATTCGGCTTGGTCCTGATTTGCGGTTCTTCTCTCCGTGGCCGCGGCTATCTCGAAAGATGGAGCCAAACATCTCCGAGCCGTCGCAAGCGCAACCTGCTGCTGAGGAGCCGGTAAAGTCCATCGAAGGCGATGGCAAACGCGATGGCTCGGTCGCAACTAGCACTGTTTCTGACGAACAATTGAGATCAATGATGGATGTTGTCATGGCGATTTATGAGTTCAGAGAAGAGGAGTGAGTCCAATCTTCTTGTCACAGCTTCATTCCACCATTTGTGCGCTGTGTATCGCATATCATCCCCCAGCATTTCAGCTAGCTAACTGACTGCTTCACATTCAACGCAGTGGCCATGATCCGTCCAAGTTGTTTCAACGCAGCGTCAATAAGCGCCTTGTTCCTGACTATTATGACATTATTAAGGAGCCGATGGCACTCAGCATTCTGAAGCAGAAGATCAACAAACGTGAATATAAGGAATTCGCTGACTTTGTGCGCGACTGCGCACTGGTATGTAGTACTATTGTTATCTTGTGATTCATGCATCAACCCTGTGCTTTATCCACGAGGAGTAATGTTTGGCAGCAACTGACATGGCATTGGCACTAGATCCCCCATAATGCACAGACTTATAACCGCCCTAAGTCTCAGGCTTACGAAGATGCACTCGTCATCAAGGATGTCTTCGTTGCCGAGTTTGAGAAGTTGGTGAAACAAGGCATTATTTCTGCAGAGGATGCCGAACTCCCCGACCTCGGGGAGATCCCTGAAGCAGACCCTCTCCCTGAAGAGGATGAGGAGGAAGATGATGACGATGACGACGACGACGAGGAAGAGGATACTGACGAAGAAAGTCGGCGCAAAAAGAAAAGGGGACCTCGTGCAGGCAGCAAACGTGATACGGGGAAAGATGATGGCCAAAAGTCCCATGATCCGGAAGTAAGGAAGAAGAGAGGCAGACCACCCCGTGTCGATACCCCTATGGAGGCAAGAATCAAAGCTGTTCTAAAGGGCATCCGAAAGCTAAAAGGGCCTAACAATCAACTCAAAGTGCGACATTTCGAACGCTTACCCGACAAGGCCATGTATCCGGATTATTATGTTGAAACCAAGGAACCGATTGCCATCGATATCATCAAGCGCAAGTCGAAAAGAAAGAAATATAACTCGGTAGACCATTTCATGAGAGACATGGAACTCATGTTTAACAACGCGAAGGCCTATAATCAACCCGACAGTCAAATCTACAAGGATGCTGTTGATTTGCAATTGGAAGCACGAAAGCTTGCCGACCTTGAGAAGAAGAAGCCAGACAGCGAGTACCTGATGGAGGATGGACGTCTGCCGTTGCCGGAAGGAATTCTTCACAAGTCGGAACTATGGAGGGTCGGCGATTGGGTCCATATCCAGAACCTTAATGACGTGACGAAGCCTATCGTGGCGCAAATATATCGCACATGGCAGGATTCAGAGGGAGAGAAATGGGTCAATGCTTGTTGGTACTATCGCCCCGAACAAACGGTCCATCATGTGGATAAGCACTTCTACCCCAACGAGGTGGTGAAAACAGGACAATACCGCGATCACCGGGTTGAAGAGATTGTCGATAGATGCTTTGTCATGTTCTTCACCCGTTACAATCGCGGACGGCCTCGAGGCCTACCTCCCAACAAAGATGTCTACGTTTGCGAAGCCCGCTACAATGAAGAGAAGCATAAATTGAACAAGATCAAGACTTGGGCTAGTTGTCTCCCCGATGAGGTCAGGGAAAAGGACTACGAGATGGACTTGTTCGAAGCTCCCCGACGGATTAAGAAGATCCCAAGCCCCATCAAACACTTGCTCAGGACCGATGCAACGGAAACCGATGATCTTCCAAAGCCAACATGGGGAGCTGAGAATGCACCACCTGTTGTTGGCGCAGTTCATCGCCGACCGCGTGATGAGAACGTAGGGCCCCTTCAAACATCTCACTTGGCCTCAATTGTGAGGGGAAAAAAATACTGACTCTATTATCTTGATCCTAGGAATCACCACCTCCGGAGCCCACACCTTCTCCACCTCCGTCATTACCTCAGCCAGCTTTGCCCTCAGCTCCACTTCGGCAGTCATCGATTAGCCAAGTTCCTCCACGGTCCAGCGTAGAGAGTCAAGGCACCGGTGCCGCGGCGAGCGCATTGCCTGCTACGGCCCGCTCGCCAGCTGTAGCCATACCCCCAACTCAGAGCTCGCCAGCCCCGGGCCCTCCGATGGCTTTTTCTCAGCCCCAAATTCCTCCGACTCAGCCCACTCAGCATGGGTTACCGAGAAGCTCCAGCGGGTTCGTGCCGCAGACCCCACACCCTAGCGCCTACCAAGCTCCGGCTGTGTCCCATCCTTTCTCGGCCGCCCAGTCAACCCCTTACATGCCGTATCAAGCAAACCGTCTACATGGGTCTACGGTGACAACCAACCCTAATGCACCTCGTCCCATTGAAGTCTTCCATCTGAGTGATACTGCAAACGCCGCCATACCCGCAAATGTCCGCGAACAGTTCCACTGTGATGACCAAGGTCATATCCTCTTCTTCTCGACCCCACCTCTAGACATCATTTCATCCTATCAGCAGAAATTGGGACATTCTCTCAAGTATCTGGCCGCAAAGGAGGAGCGGCGCAGACTAGTGGAGACCAAGAAACGCAAAGGGACGCAGGATCAAGTGGGACAAGCATTAATTGTCAAGCGCCCCCGAGCAGATGAGAAAGTTGCTCTTGAAACTCAAGTGGAGATGCTCACTGTCAAGGCTTGGGACACCATGACAAGTCAAATTGTGGCAGGCACGGACAAGCTCTATGAGATTTTGTATCAGAATGAAGGAGAAAGTGTCAGGCGAGCAGATATCAAGGCACACGAACAGCGGAGAATAGCCGATCGAGTCCCGCACGAGAAGACAGCGCATATCCAATCTCACTCACAGAGCGCACTGTTTGTTAGCCTTAAAGGTAGTGCCATGTATATGTCTGATGTTGACACGAAATGCTGACGAAAAGAAACGCTCCCTCATGAGCCACTGTTGACTACTCGGCATACATTCGGAATGGTGGACCGAAAACAAACTAAAGTGCTCTTGTCGAGTGAATTGTGGCTAAATTGGCGAATTTCTGAATTGGACGTTAATAAGTATTGTGAGCTATTGATGTATACCTTCATAAGTCTCATCAATTATGACCAAGGTTGTCATAGTTATGCTTACCTCGTCCCAAATAGCGATTGTATAGTAAAATCATGTCTGCTTCTTCCACACCCATTCCCACCTCCTATTTGCTACATCAACAACTCATGGCATCTCGACAGAACCAATTCCATTGGAGGAAACTGCAGAAGGGACAGACAGATGTCGTACGTTTATCGATCACCCATGTTTTCATACTTACGTGGTCGAAATTTCAGCATTGGATTTGCAAGCAAAGGAACAAACGAGAAGAATTATCAAAATGATAATAGAAAACACGAACCTATAAATATGGCAAACGAGCTAGGAGCGTAACCCCCAACACCATATTGACTGTTGGCTGCAGGCCAGTAGACTAGAATTAGAAGACAAGCACAGATCGTGAGAGACAAGCATGCTTCGAAGAGGAGAACGATATATGCCAGTAAAATGTACACTAGGTGAAGATAATAATGATAATGCTGCTGCCCCAAAAGATCACCCAATGGACCTTGTGCATATTGCATTTTGTCGGAATTTAGAAGTGCCATGTAGGGTAGCGACATGGCGTAATGAACAATGGGAGAGACCAAAAGGCCAGGGTAGAGAAGAATGATAAGGGAAAAGATCAAGCGGGGAGTCACAAGCAGAATTGGGGACGGCCTGGCCTCGTTACAAAACATCCCTTGTCTAACAGATCATATAATGCGACGCAATGGCCAATATTAGAGGCAGATGCAGTATAACTCCAGAAAAAGTTCAACAGTTCTATGAAAAATTCCCTCCAACATTTTTGTGTAGTTTTGAATGACGTCATGACTGGACAGGGGCATGAACTGGTACCCACCTGTGATGCTAGCTTGTTCTTTCGTGCGAAAAGGCTTGCTGAATTCAGGCTTCCAAATACAAGTTCGATTCCATTCTTTCCACTGAAGGGTTTGATGAGGCATAGAATCGATTATTAGGCATCGGTAGTAGATTGGACTGCGATAATGTTTCAGCGAGTTAAGGCTGGAACTCTGGGTTGTTCGTGGAAGTCGGCTCATCGTCATTTGAATCCGCCTTGTGAGAATCCCAAGAACTGCTGCTTCGCTTGTTGTTCTCTTCTTCTTCCATGGAGAAAACCAAGTCACTTTGCTCTTCGTCAATCTTGCTGGTACTGACCGGCGATGAGATGGTACGATCCAGGCGGCTGCTAGGGCCTGCAGATGCCGAATGGCGAGGGGGGCCAGGGTGTAGAGACATGCCACTGAGCTGTTGAGAGATCATGGACATCGACGGTTGGCGAGGGGCACTCGACACGAACGGAGAGATGTCTCCAGAGATCTGCCGGCTGCCGATTGGGCCAAGGCTCGGGCTGGTGCCTAGATTCAATGAAGACTCCCGCAAAGGTGAGCCAATGTGTGTCAGAGAAGTACTACCATGGGCGTCTTCCTCTCGCTTCTGCCGCTGCTTGGCAAACAAAGCCCCGAATCGGGATGGGCTGGAAGCCAAGGGAGAGCCCACTTTGGAAAAACTGGTGCCAGTCATGCCCAGTCCGCTGAGCTCGCGATGGCTGGAACTCAGATCATGATCGGTGCGCGAGAGGCGCCGAAGTCGCTCCTGCGGGGTAAGAACATCGTCGTGTAAGTTGATCGGCAGATAGTCTTCTTCCATTGGAAAATTGCTATCGTCCCAGTCATCCAGAGCGGTGGGTCGTGGCACACTTGCTGAGAGCATTCGTGTCTTGATGGGGCGTTGGGAATGAAGGAAGCGGGGCCCCATTCCATCTTCTGGTAGGGTAGGAGGCGATGACCCAATAAAAGATGATTTCCTGAGATCGGATCCGTAAGCCGTGTCCCGAAGGGTTCGAATAGCATCTGATGGTGCGCCCATTCGTTGTGCTGGAGGCGACAGTTCTAACCCGAATTTCGACGGCATGGAAGCCGCAACCGGGCCATACCGAGCCGCGTGCGAAATGCCTTGGCTGTCGAACGACGCGGGAAGGGGAGCATCCAGTGCAGTCAGATGGCGGTGATTTGGTGACATGGGATATCGTACATCGTCGACAGGCGACCCGTACTTGGAATTAGTGTCGGATGTCAGTCCAGTATCGATAGTAGGAATAACATCATAGGGCAACGGTTGCGGTGGTGGTGACTGGGGCGGAAGCTGAGGGGCATATCTTGGATCATGGCCGTTCATCCGCTGCTGCGACAAAACAGAGTTGGTCAAAGCAGAATCCTGGTTCACGTAGGCTTGCGGATTAACACGACCACCCAAATTAAGGTGACCACCACCCAGTCCCATTCCTGGGTTGGGGCGGTTGACACGTCGGCCGTCGGGCAGAATATGCGCCAGCGCACACTTCGCTCCGAATTTGCAGTTACCCTATATCCAAAGCACAAGCTGTCAGCCGTCGGAGGAAATTCTGGAACACATAAGGCTCATGATAGACGGCCGAGCTATCTAATACCTTGGTGAAATATTTACAAGGCGCATAGTCTATTGCTGCATCAGTGGAGTGGAGGAAGGGACATGCAGGCCCGGCCTGGCAAGCACCCTGGCGAAAGAATTTGCAAGGCACATGCTTGGTATCTGAGTAGGGACAGTTGTAAAAGCATTAGCGATTGATCATCCATGGGGGGGGGGGGGAAGTGTAATGAAATTGATGAAAGAGAAGCACAAGTGAACGGCAACAAACCGAATGCAATGCCCTCAATTATGCCGTACATGAAGCGCGGGGAGGGAAAGAAAGCAGATCGGTTTGCGGGGATGGGAACGAGACATGTATGACTTACTGCTTTGATTGGGAGGACTGCGGGCAGCCATGTCGAAGCCGGAGGGATTGCGGGAATGACCGTTCTGGAGTGATTGAGGACCGGAGGGGACCGGGAGAGGCGCGCGACCTTTCATGCCACTCAAAAAGTGATTTGAGGTGCGAGTCGAAGAGTGGGAAACCGGAACGACGGCGGCAGTGAAAGAAGGAAGATTGAGGAGGAAGAGGGGGCGAAGGGGGAGGAGGAAATAGTGGTGGTAGGGTGATTTGGAGTGGTGGTGATGGTGGTTGTGGTGGTGGTGGTGGTGGTGTTGGAAGGAGGGGAAGAAGGTTGAATAGGCGGAGAAGGGCTGCGGGATGCCGACAGCTGCATCGCCAAGGTGGGCAAAGGTGATGGCAGCGCAGCAACACACGCAAGGAGATCCGAAACTCCGCAGGAGGATTATCGGACAAAGATAGGGAATTGGTGAGGGAAGGGTGGTGGAATCGAATAGGGAAGGGAGGAAAAAACAACTAGCGTGAACGGTCCTACAGTACTCGCTCGTATATCAATCAGTCTGAGCAGCGGATGAAGTCCATCCTCGGGATGATCAAAGGAGGGGGATATGCGTGGGCGGTGAGCCGAAAAAAAAAAGGTGCAATTGCAATAACTAAGTTACTGGTAAATACTAGATAGAGAACTTCGTGGACTACTAGTGTTGACGACTCGTACAGTATGTATGTACAGTACGGTATACTTCATACAGTACAAGAAATAGGGAAACCCTTAGAAAAGCGGGCAAGTGAATCTACCAGACACAATACCAGATTGGACTTAGTACTGTACCATATAATAACAATATATCACGAGAATCTCCTCCTCCTCTTCCTCCTCCTCTTCTTTCTCTTCTTCTCCTTATGTATGCAAGTTCTCCTTAAGTAGCCTGGCCTTCCTTGCCTGTCGGTGCTACAGACAGAATACAGTCAAGAATCCAACATGTTCAGATGACTTCAATATATTATACTGACTAATGAACGTCCCTCTTCCCATAATCCTTCAGAATGATTGGAGACTCAAACTTACAAGGTACTGTACATATCAAGTTATCGAAAAACAAATCGATACTGATAGAGTGCAGTGTTAAGCTGCGTCTCCCCCACGAACCCGTAAGTCAGTTTGCACACATGCGCTTTCTCAAGACCAGGGATCGACCGCCGCCGATCAGAGACCGATCCCTTCCATCCTGCCTTTTCAACGACTTTCTTCACGAGCTTGAGTGATCATTTGATCGGCGTAACGGGGGCCCTTCCAACCCTAGAGATTCCTGCGTAGTCACCAATTAGAACCATTCAAGGCTGGAAATGAGACCATGATCACCCATACCCAGAGCTCTTCCCAAGCTGTGTCGCTTGACAACGCATCCAAGCACCTTCGCCATAGGTCACAGCAGATCCGAGCACGACTGCTAGCGTGCTTTTTCCAGCGCTTCCAATCTTCTTCGGCACGTGCGCTTGTCATATGCACGGGCACGGGCACGGGCATCGAAGCATTCCCCTCCATTGTGAGCCAGATTGTCCGGGTTGTTGCTTGATCTCGACCAAGTTGATCCACATCTCGACGAAGCTCAGACAGTAAAGGTTTCGCATGGAGGGCTGCCAGCTCCATTCGTACCTTTTTCTTGTGGATCTGAAGACTGGAAAGCTTGCCCTGGGCTTTCTCAATGTGCTCATCCAGGGTTACGAAGGTTTCCGATGTGACCTCGTTGGGAGCTTCTTGTAAAGCGTGATACACTACTTGTTTTCCTATAGATGAAGAGAGCCCTCAAGTTCAGTGCTGTTCAAAACTCATCGACACGAGATCAAGATGATCTACACTTACCCGCTGTCTGTCCTCCAATCTGCTTGTCGTGCCACAAGTCTCGTAATGCTCTGGCGGCATACGCTGTGTAAGATGCCATGGCGCGAGGAATGAGCTCAATTACACCCAACAGAATCTAATTTAGGACTTACCCTTGGTGACCGCTGCGTGTAGATTGGCTGATATCTCGATAGCCTACCTCATTTCAGCAGGAGCAAGTCTGGCCACTTCGGGATTAGTATTCCCATCTACTAACATACCGAATACGGGCGACTGTGTCCATGATTCACAAGTAACAGTTAGCTGTTATGTTGCAAAGCGATAAGAGCAGACGTGTACTGGGAGTGACTGGCCGTACTTCTGTCTCTCTAGACGATGTGTTAGAGGGCCGAAGGAGAAACAAGACACTGAGGCTGGGGTGAATACGCACGAAGGTAATCAAGAATGACCTCAGCGCCGTCGTTAATAGCTCCTCCCACGAAAGATATTAGCCACCCGTGCCTCTCGCACGATGATCATTTTCTCACTCTCGCTGCGAATAGTCTTAGGACAATTTGCTTTGTTCTGCGTCATGACTCTGGTGCACCGGCTGAGCTACCGATGCAGCATGGCACACATCGAGCTGGTTTAGGGGGGGTGGAAGAGGAGAGAGAGTTACAGATTTCCCGGCGGCGGCGGAGGATGAAATACAATTGGACCGACGTGTCACGTGTTTTGGAGCGAAGATGCCTGGCATTCAGCACCCACCACAGACGATTGCCTTCCTTCTCCAGGAGAAGTTAAGGGAGACACAAGAAGCTCGGAACATTGTAGACGGCAACAGAATGGCCACTTCGGAGCAAGAAGGAGATTGCCACACTCCTCTCATACATAATAAATGCCCGGTAGGAAAGTAGTTCATTTTACTGCGGTGTTCTTGACACCCCTGAGAAAAACCTATGGAGTGCAAGAAACATAACCATCCCAAAGAAACATAGAATGTTCAGGTTTCAAACTCAAGTCGTACGCTGCCTCTTCCATGACCCTCAATTTCAAGCTACTCGACCCTGATCACATGGCTCGAGGCAAGGAGAGATGGCATAGCGCTTCATAAGACTTTCCAGATACAGCACAAGCGAATAAATATCACGAGATAGATGGCGTCGGGGTATCACATGACAATCTAGACAATGTTAGCTGCTATCATGACGAGTGTGCGGCTGCAATAAAGTAGGAACATACGCAATCACTGTCTTTCTGTACAGCTGGAACGCCCATTTCCTCAAACGTCTTGGGGCCTTTACCCGGAAGACCAGATTGCGACTTGGCTGGCGTTGTTGCTGGAGGTTTCTGGCCGGCAGCGCTTGTCGTTGGTGGGGCGGGCTTAGGGGTGGGCGCGGCTGAGGAGGGTTTGGGTGTGGATGAAGATAGCGGAGGCTTAGACATGGATTGAGCATTCGAAGACGGCATAGACTCCGTCCGTGGGGGGAATGACGTGGTTGAAGGCGAAGCAGCTGGCCGAGGGGAGCTCACCGGACCAACTTGCATATGAGGAGAGGCAGGGCCTCTTACAGGTCTGCGGTCAGGAGGCATGTTGTCAAGCCGCTGAGGGCGTCTCCGAGCGTCCGCGTTGGGATTTTCGAGCGGTGCCGAGTAGCCAATATCAAGCTTGGGAGTTGTAGGTGCTGGGCTTGTGGGACTGGCAGTGGAGGGGGTACTGGGCCCTGGGGTCCGATAGCCCATAGGGCCTGGTCCATAAGACGCCGCGCGGTTGTAGGTGGGAGCAGTATTGCGGATGTTGGGATTGATCCCAAACGCTGAACTAGGACGTGGGTCAGGCATGCCATATCCGGGTGGATATACAGGTCGGGCCCGGGACGAAGGCCTGTCGGGATAGGGAGCAGCGGCCGATGAATTGTCCGAGAGAGTCATTCGGGACGGATCAGGCATTTCGATGTTCTCAGGGGTAGGTTTCATCGGACTCCCTCGTTGACCAGATCCATAACGCGACTTGATCCGAGCTATTGCTACTTGCTCGTGATCCTTTCTGGACAAAGTCTTGGAGCGAGAAATACTATCGATGCGGCCTGTCGCATCTTTGTTTCCATTGGCGGCTGCTTTGGCATACCAGCTTCTAGCTTCTTTGATGTCCACGGGAACAAAGATTCCGACCTCGTAGAAGTATCCCAAGGCAAATTCGGCAGTAGGGAATCCGCTTTGAGCGGCACGTTGAGCGTAGGTGAATGCCAACTCGTCATTCTTGTCGAAGACACCTTCGTGACCACAAAGGAACCATTTGCTAATTGCCATCTCTGCTTCCGGTTCCCCTTGTCGTGCAGCCAATGCGTTGTAATGCAGAGACAAGGCGGGGTTGAAGTCGCAGCCGAGTTGGCACAGCTCATAGGCTGCACCCATCTTGACCTGTGCCTTTGCGAAGCCGTGATAGGCAGCCTTTTCGATGTTGACACGGGAGGCATTGAGATCAAGAGGAAGGTAGCTCTCAGGAACATTGACCTGCGGTAACTCTCGCGCTAGCAGCATGCCATAGACCTGGGCATGGAGAGGTTAGCTTCCCAGCCGTAGAATTGTGGGTGAATCCGGACGAACATAGGCTCCCTGGGGGGCATTCTCATCGCAGGACTGCGCTGCAAGGCTAATGTATTCGAGCCCCATCTGATAATCCTGACGCTGGCCATGCTGGCCTAGTAAGATCATCATTCCCAAGCGCTACCGTTGTATATATCATTAGCTATTATTAGCGCGGGGTACGAGCCGGTCTGATAACGCGGGGAGACATACGTAGAAGGAAGCAGAGTCTGTAAGGGCAACACCCTTCTCATAATGCCTGATGGCTTTCTCGGGCTCTCCGGAGCTTTCAAACTGCATGCCAATCCGGTACTCGGCTCTGGCATATCCTTTGTCCGCGGCTCTCGAGTAGGATCGGAAAGCTTCCTTCTTATCGACGCGATATCCGAATTTCCCGAACTCGAGCCACATGCCCTTGATAAACTCAGCCTTGGGATGACGTTGTTCTGCGAGGAAGTTCACAATGTTCATTGCGTCGAGTTTGAGTTGACGCTCCACCGGGGGGGTTTGTGGTCGCGGAGGCTGGATCAAAGACAGACGTGCCTCGTTCTGCATGGCAACCTCGACGAAAGCGAGCGCGTCTTGAGCCCAGGCCAGCTGCATCTCCGGATCATTAGAGGAGAGCACTGCCATACGTGCTCTTTCCAAGTTGGCTTCCCGCTGCTCATCGGTTGGAGGGACGTTTGGCGGGGGATTCCGCAGAACAGGAAAGGGAGAGAAGTTGGGAGTACCCATAGCATCGTGAGCCGTATCCTGCTGCTCGTACTGGGAGGCAGGTTCGTAGGCTGATGGGTAAGGCTGGTCTTGTGAGAAGGCGGACGAAGTGCGCTCGGGGAAGCGAGAGCGGTCATACTGCACTGGAGCGTGCTGGTTGTGGTGGGGGTGTCGAGCTTCGTGCTCAAGATGAGCTATGTTGTCTTGCATATTCTCCGGTACCTCGGGCATGACTCTACTAGAACAAGGGTATGATTGGATCGATTAGCAACACAACCAAGTGAAAGGGACACTAGGAAGGGATGATCAACTGTTTGTTCAAAGAGTCGCGGGCAATTCGTACCTTTGAGGAGATGGAGATATGACTTCTGGCATGTAGAAATCGTCCTGACCCCCTGGATACCATGTCGCACCCAGCCGTGGCTGACCACGACCTTGGGGTGGTGGCCTATTCATCGCGGCCAGTGTGTTTCTCCGGTCTTGGAACTATTGCGTTTTCTTTTCTTGGTTTGGCTGATTGTGACTGTTTCTTCTCTGCCCCTGACAATCAAATGGTTTCAGACTAAAAGCCCTTACTATGTGGCAAAGACCTCGGGTCTGATGATCCAGAAGATGTTAATAAGTCGAAAGCTAAGGGTGGTGGGGGGCGGGGGGAGGGAGAGGGGTGGTTAAGGGAGTAGGGAGGAAAGGAAGAAAGAGGATTCGGGCTGAGCGTAAACAGAAAGCGGAATGGAGGTTACCGAGTAATAACGATGATCATTACAATGTACGCTCACCTTTGGGACTAGTACACATCACGTACTTTAGTTACCTAATCCTGCTAGATTCACTAACTAACTACTAATCAATTTACTCTACCTACTTAGACTAAGGGAGGGGAGGGGCGACGAGGGACCGGGAAAAAATCACTGGGGGGTGATTGGGAACAGCCATCGATAATAATAATACCGAGTAGGTTAGGTTACTGCTGAGCAACAAACAGTACAAGAGAGAAGGTGGGGACAGGAGGGGGGCACTGTACAAACTACAAAGCCAGCAAGCCAGCAAGCCAGCAGAGGCTCCATCACCCCGGATGATTTACTACATTGAAGGTATTGTGGTTGTTTAATGTGGTTATGGTTAAGTACTGTACGCTATATATTTGAAGAAGTAATGTACTATACTGTACGGAATATATTCATACCAACTTCCAAGTACATGCCAACTGATTCTCAGGGCTCGAATCTGCTGAACATCAAACAAGTGAAGTAGTCTGTCTGACAGGGGGCCAGGGGCAATATTGAGAAGTGGGGTTTTATTTGGCATGCTAATAAATTTGGTATCTGACTAAATACATAGGTAGTCGGTTGGCTTGGAGGTACAGTACAGTACGAGATACAGATCACACATACTCAGTAGATACAGTGTTAAGATTACAAGGACTGTACTGTACTATACAGAGGAGAAGCTCCCCTTACATAATACCTATCGTCCACAATCAGGAGTACTCCGGAGGTAGTGTACTACATACTGTGGCGTCAGAGGGAAGGAGGTCCTTGGCACCTTCCCTTCAGGGAAGGCGGTGGTATGTGGGTTGATTCTTCATTCTTCCCTCCTTCTCCTTCTCTCCCTCTCTTCCCCTCCTCTCATACCATACATAGGAATTGCTTCATCTTTCTCTTTTGAGCAGCTTTATTAGTTGAATTCGATACCTCTTCATTTTTCCGTTAGGCCTATACGGGCTGGTTATCCTCCTCTAGTTAGTGGGTGGTTGTTCGGCTTCAATACTCATATGTACAGTAGTTACAACGTACTCTACCTAAGCTCGATCGACCTTCTCATCATAATACATACCCAACATGTCGCTGAAGCTACTACTTAGTGCAAGATGCTGGCCCTTCGTCAAGTAAGAGTAAGCATAAAGCTCTAAATAGGCAGGCACATGTAATCCTGATTGAAAGTAACTGGGCCAGGATAATGGCTATTGACAGCGGCTGTAATTCTAAAGCTACCGCAGCTAAGTCTTATGAAGTAGGCGGTATGTGTTATATATTATAATATAGACTCTAATAATTCTAATAGAAAGTAGAAAAAAGACTTTCTAATAAAGAACTCTAATAGCAAAATTCTCGCCCCTTAAAATCCTAAGAACTCCCATAGTAATTTCTGATATAAGAAGATTTCTATTATAAAGACTTGTATCTTTAAATACAACGCCGATAGCAATAGAAATCCGACCGGTGTCAATAATAGCGCTTATTCTTGGCCAGGAGCGGGGCATGGAACCCGCCTGGAGAGTCTACGTACCTTCTTTAGACGTAATTAGGTAAGTTACCTGCGGAGTAATAGTACAGTACCACATAATTCTCCCGAGGCCCAGAACTCATGGCTATTGATAGCACGAGCAAGCATACTAAGTACTCAGCACTACTCCGTACTACTTAGTTAAATACACCGACTGCGTACCTAGTAGTTAGTAGTCACGGAGTGTGTAGTAGTAATTTGATAGTATAACTGGCGACACTTACCCCTTTCTCTTCCATCCCCTAAAGGTACTCTTGGATCACACACTACGGATGTTGACTCCTTCGCCCAGACCACCTTATCTGTCAGATGGGGCAAGGCCATGGTTCTGCTTGATGGTCCAATTACAGGGTATATACAGTCTTCAACGTTACTAGTACTCCATTTTTATCAGCTAGCTTATGGGACTTTGTAGGGTACTGACAGGGGGAAAGACTGAGGTCGAAACCGCCTTCCTCATAGGGGGGAGGTGGGCCGGCGGCTCACCCCCGTCACCACCTGCTTCTTCTTACCTTTATGTCAATAATCAAGCAGTCCGTTGAGCCTCTATGAGTTGAATCGATCAAGAGAGCTTATATCTATACCACTTCGGTGGTTCGCAGTACTTCACCACTTCCATGTGTACATTATTGTAGAAAAGAGCTTACAGTAACGTCACGTGACCGATTGGTCATTAACTAGTTAGTCAACTAACTTGATGTTAGGTTAGTTAGTGGACTATCTAACTAACTAGTTACCTAATTAGTAGTTACGTAACCAACTTAGGTCAATACCTGCAAACCAATCACTAAATTGTTTTGATTCACCAGTGACCACCCTGATATACAGTTGAGCATTTAGCACTAAGGTATAAGAATCGAACAGATTTCTACTTGCTACTACTCATTGCGTAGACTGTACGTTCCTCAGCCTTAAGAGTGCGAGTCGAGCGTTATTAGGTTCTAGGTTCTAGGTGAGCTACCAAAAAGATTTGGAGCGCGACTAGTTCTGACTAGTATATGTGTGGGGCCTCCGATCTTCCGTGGAAAGTTCTTTGTATGTTCTTCGTGGTAACTCAGAAAGGACTACACACTCCATCCTCGCCTCAAAGTTGACAGCTTTAAGTCTCTACTTGTCTAGTAAACTGTCTAGTCTGTCGGATTCACCCATTGTTGTCTCTTTATTTGGTCTTCTCGAAATACCTCCAGTGAAATCAGCCTATGAATGCAGTATTAACCACCTGGAAATAATGGAGCTGCAGACCAAGGACTTCCACCACCCTTATTCCCCCTATAATATTCAAATTCAGTTCATGAGAGCACTTTACACATGTCTCGAGGATGGCAAAGTAGCGATCTTCGAGTCCCCAACGGGTAGGTTGGACTTCATGACTAGGCAAAGGCGTTGCGACCCCTGCTAACTTGGTGTTGCTAGGCACTGTGAGTGAATTCAAGTCACCCTACGTAGCTCAGCCCATTGAAGGGAGCCATAGCCTAAAATCTCTGAAAGGCTCGACGCGAAATCTGCTTCTGACTTGATTTGAAGGTGATGAGGAACCATGCAAATGACTGATGACTAACATATTCCGTAGGGTAAATCCTTAAGTTTGATATGCGGCTCCTTGAGTTGGCTGCGTGACCACAAGCGTTCTGCTTTCCAAGATACCATCGATCACACACTTAGTGAGGACTATGGATCTCCTTCAATATGCATTGCTATTGCCTCTGACCCTAGCGATAGACAATGACGAGAGTGAGCCAGACTGGATGTTGGAATTCGCCAAGAGTGAGTTGAGTCGCTCAATGCTCGAGAAAAGGAGGGAGCTTGAGGAGCGGTTAGAGAGGACAAAACTCGAAGAAGAGAAACAAAGGATTGTGGTGGAGAATCCAGAACTCCCCCGAAAAAAGCAGGTAGGTTCACTGTCGAGTCCTAGCCGCAGAATGATGAGATTGAAGACTATCAGAAACTAAGCAAGGCATCCACTGGGCCGCCCTTGCACGAAGATCAATTCCTTGTAAATGAATATAATAGCGACGATGATCAACCAGGTCTTTCAGCCAAAAGCTTGCAACCCGACAGTGGGCTTTCTTCCAGCACACTTGAACTGCTGAAAAGGTTCAGAGGGCAATCGACTGCTAAATACGATGCAGACAGTGACCAAGACGATGAGATTAAGATCTTCTTTTGTTCTCGGACACACTCTCAGCTATCCCAATTTGCAGGTGAATTACGACGCATTGCCATGCCATCGAGTATCCCAGAAGATATGGTACCCAGTGATGGAAGCAAGGCCTTGGAGGAACGCATTAGACACCTCTCCCTCGGATCCCGGAAGAATCTTTGCATCAATACACGGGTATCTTCACTTGAGAATCCAACAGCGATCAATGAACGTTGTCTCGAATTGCAGCAACCTGGAGTAGCCACAGAACACAAATGCCCCTATCTACCGGCAAAAGAAGACGAGACACGTGCTATTCGGTTCCGCGATCATGCACTTGCGACTGTGAAAGATATAGAAGATTTAGGGAACGTCGGAAAGGAGATCGGAATATGTCCCTATTATGCTTCTCGATCGGTTATCAAGCATAGCGAGGTGAGTCTTTCGTTGAACCGTTTGTTTTAAACACACAGCTGAAATTGAACAGATTGTCACTCTTCCATATCCTCTCTTGCTTCAGCGATCAGCCAGGGAAGCACTTGGGTTGTCAATCAAGGGCCATATCATCATCATTGATGAAGCACATAATCTGATGGATGCGATATCTAGCATCCATTCCGCGACTGTGACACTTTCCCAATTCGAGTCGTCTATCTCACAACTAACGGCCTATGCCCGCAAGTTTAAGACCCGTTTGAAAGGACGGAACAGGAGCTATATTGCTCAGATCATCCGGCTCCTCGGCTCAATTACACATCACCTTCGCTCTGTGCTGGCCAGCAATGGGCCGCCTGAAGGACGTGTCCTGCCTTCGGAGCTCATGTCTGGGAAGGGCGTCGACCAGATTAACCCTTACAAACTAAGTCGATATCTCCAGGAGAGTAAGCTCGCCAGAAAAGTCGATGGGTACGTCGAATTCACGAAAGAAGCAACAGAAGCCAGGGCTTCTGGGAGATCCACGACACCTATACTGTTCCACATACAGGGATTCCTGCTCTCATTGATGAACCCGTCCACTGAGGGGCGATTGTTTTATCTGAAAGACAAGGATGAAGTTGAGTTGAAATACATGCTTCTTGATCCGACAAACCAATTCCGTGACCTCGTTGAAGATGCCAGAGCCGTCATACTGGCTGGTGGAACGATGTCACCGGTAAGACCCCGCTGCAAGTGTCTAGTGAATCGACCTTCGGATTTGTCCGTCTAACAGATTTCGTAGATGGCAGACTACATGAATCATCTGTTCTCCTATGTCCCCTCTGAGCGAATCGATACCTTTAGTTACGGTCATGTCATTCCGTCGGGGAATTTGACTGTACACACGTTAGGGCGTGGAGTACAAGGCATGAATCTCGAGTTCACGTATGACTCTCGAAACGTAGAGGCGATGGTAAGTGATTCGTCCAAAGCTCATGGGAGAACGTGTCTCGACTAACCGGCGCACCTCTTTGATGCTTCTGGGCGATCGCTCAGATACTTGACCTTGGCCGAACAATAGCGTCCATCTGCAACGCGATTCCTGATGGCGTCGTTGCTTTCTTCCCCAGTTACGATTACCTGGGCCAAGTGTTAAACGTGTGGAAAAAGCCGATAGAAGGCGAGCGGGGCCAGAGCGTATACGAGCTAATCTATAGAGCGAAGCCGGTCCTCTCTGAATCACGAGAGATGGCTGAGTCGACGGAAGAATTGCTTCAGAAGTACGCTGAGCTCATTGACTCTAGTAGCGGTGCGCTTCTATTGTCCGTGGTGGGTGGGAAGCTGTCCGAAGGGATCAATTTTTCCGATCGACTCGGACGTGGCGTAGTCATCATCGGACTGCCGTTTCCGAACATTCAAAGTGCCGTCTGGCAAGCAAAAATTGAGTATGTCGAGCAGAAAGCGTTTGATCAAGCAGTTGGTTCCGAAGCCAGTCGGCGGTCGACCGCCAAAGCTGCAGGGAGAGAATACTACGAGAACGCTTGTATGCGGGCAGTGAATCAGTGCATCGGACGAGCTATCAGGCATAGCAAGGACTATGCCGCTATTGTGTTGATGGATAAACGGTATGATCGAACCAATATCAGAGGAAAGCTTCCGGCCTGGATCAAGCAGAGCATGGCCACTGCTTCTATCAATCAACCTGCAGGTAGGACGATTCAGAGCCTGTCTGATTTTTTCGGAGATGATAAGCAACGTGTCAACAGCAGGGCCCAGTGATTATGTGAGCAATTGAAGAATGATAAGCCTCTCTTAGCAGTCACGTAGTTGAGTGGCTACAGTACGTAGTAGTTACTTAGCACACTAATTACATCCAACTACGAAGTTACGTTACTGGCCGGGATCGCCAACTGGCACAGGCAGGTCCGATGCCGACCACAATGAAGCCACGTGATCAATAACGCCCCCCCCCCTTTCCCCCCGGCGCGCCAAGGCCCATCTGAAGGGCAGGGCCCTAAATTAGGGCAAGCAAATTAGCGCACATTCTAGCCCCCCCCCCCAAGCCTTGATTTCAACATCTGAGCCCAGCACCCACGACCGCATCCCCCCATCGCCAAACTCTCAGACCGGTCTTGTCGAGCTCAGCACCGTCGACAAGATGCCTACCCGTTTCTCGAAGACAAGGAAAGCGTGAGTCGAAAAAGCTTTTCCCCTTCGCCTCAATGCCCTCGATCGTGATCTCGCGGTTTTCGTGGTGGAATGCGACAGGCAGATGCTTTGTCCGGCGCTCTCCGAAGAGGTGCCGAACATATAAGAAGGAAGGACATCAGACTGACATTTCTGTTTTCTAGCCGCGGTCATGTTTCCGCCGGTTACGGTCGCGTTGGCAAGCACCGTAAGCATCCCGGTGGTCGTGGTATGGCCGGTGGTCAGCACCACCACCGGACCAACCTTGACAAGTACCACCCTGGTTACTTCGGTAAGGTCGGAATGAGATACTTCCACAAGACCCAGCAGCAGTTCTGGAAGCCCACCATCAACCTCGACAAGGTACGTTGCATCGACTCGAAAGGGAGGATCGGAATCAGTTCAGTGAACGGTGGTCGAATTAGTCGGATATCGATGAAGCAAACGTTGATTGAGACATGACCGCACCCGTTTGTGAAGGAAGACCGGGGCAGCCAAGAATAAACGCTAATTTGTTTGTTTGTATTACAGCTGTGGTCTCTCGTTCCCGCCGAGCAGCGCGATGCCTATGTGAGCGGCCAGAAGACCGACACCGCCCCTGTCATCGACCTCCTTTCCCTCGGTTACTCCAAGGTCTTGGGCAAGGGCCGTCTCCCCGAGGTTCCCATTGTCGTTCGCGCCCGCTACTTCAGCCGTGACGCCGAGAAGAAGATCAAGGAGGCTGGTGGTGTTGTTGAGCTTGTTGCTTAAATGTGGAAATTGGCGTTTCTGCTTGAAGGTTTAGACTGGGACAGGTGCTGCGCTGGCTACGGCTCAGGGCAAAGAGGGTCAATTATCTCCCCTGGTGATGAAAACCTTAAAATGGGAGCCGCGGATCGGGCACCTTGGTCCGTGTATCTACAAAACAAAGGGTGTCTAGTTGGTGACGAGCTTTAAAACGGCCGCCAGACAACTTCACGATCAGATTTATCGAACAATACCATGAAGGAGAATTGATTTTTTCACTTTTTTTTTCTCCCGGACTCAATCCTCGACTGCTGTTGCATATGCTCGTTCCGACTAGATGCCATGGGCTATATCGCTTCTCGCCGTCGATTCCTATCGCCACTCACCGATGCGTTGTCATCATCCGCACCGGACCGAATAGTCCAGTGAATGTTGCCTTCCATTATCGCTGAATGTATTCGAGTAACTTTAGTCTGCTCAGCTGCTTGACTATCATGTGCGCCTTCATAATTACATAGTAGGACACGTAGTGTGATTTTTTACATGCAATAGCAATATATATAATTGTATTCGATCATCTTGTGGCATGTCTACATCTTAGCCTCTCGAACGGAACCCGTCCTAAGACACGCACTATTGGTCTCGAGTGTCTCACGAATGAACCGGACCGCTTCGTTGACCATTTGGGGAGTCACCTCGTGTCCAGCGTGCTCATCGATAATGTCTTCCAGGGTGACCAACCCATCAGCAAACCACCCACTGGATGAGATTGCTTGTTTCAACCAAGTCAAAAATGCGCTTCCTCGATGGTAGGGTACCAATTTATCCATCCCGCCCGATAGGTTTAGGATTCTCTTCCCTGCTAAACAACGATCGAGTAAAGGGCGTAGGGAGACCTTCTCACTTTCAGTGGGAGCCGGCAAGGACTCGCTGCGGAGAGCACTTGGTATCAACGTTGAGTCCATTTGGCTCAAGAACAAGCTCGCGGGGTCGTATTTTCGAACGGCATCGAGCAATGAGCCCGGAAAATCCTCAGAGCCCAAGAAATTGGAGCCAGGAGCTTCGCTATCTGTCCAGGACGGCAGCCTGGACAATCTTGCGCGATCGGCCATGAGATTCACATAATCCGGGCAACCAATGATGACAACGCCCGCACTTATGCGGGGCTCATGCAGGATGCAGCTCCAGGCAGCGTGTCCGCCTAGAGAAACACCCAGAACTAAGTTATCAGATACCTTGCGTTCTGATCTGGGGAAGACAAAAGATGGGATATAGTCAATCAAGAGAGACACATCACGGGCAGTGCCCTCTGCAGGACAGAGATTAGAGCTATGATTCGTCTGGATCAGCATACACAACACTCACGAAAGATCGAGAACATGTCTTGGGCATGACGAGGGTTTCCTTGTTTCCAAGCTTCATTGGCTAAGGGATCAACCAGCCTCGTCCCATGGTTTCTTTGGTCGAACGCTACGGCAATCAGGCCTTTCACAGGGCGACTTGAATTGGAGCAAGCGCCCTGGTTCTTGGAATTCCAGTCGGCGATGACTGCCGTCGCGATACTAGTCATTCGTTCTTGGGTAGCTAGTCTTGGATGTAGTAACCAAAGACAGGCAACCTCAGCCGCTTCTGATGGTAATTCTTCGAGACCGAATACCGTCGTGAGAATTCCTGCAATGGCAAATCGCCGATGAGACACAGGCGACGGTGCGCTGGTGTTGTCAAGGTCAGAACGCGGCGCAGCATCCAGAGGCTTCATGGGGTCCGTCATATTCTCGAATGAGTCGATGTTTTGATAGAACAATTTTCATATATATCTTTCTTGCTGACGTGTGGGTGCAATTGCGGTCTAATGGGGGATCTGGGGTCTGGGGTCTTTTCCTTTGTGGTTTGTCTCTGTTTGTTTTTGCTCTTCTTGGGGGGGGAAGGGGGAGGAGGAGAAGAGAAGGTGGAGGGGTGGAGAGAATAAATGTGTCTAGGGACTGAGGAAGTGATGTATAAATACACCTGTATATATATCACTCACTCTCCATATAGCAATTTCAACCTTGGGTATGTACTGTACCGTAGACAATAGCCGAGGATAAGTAAAATACCTTCGAGTACAGTACACACCACTTGTTATCTGCGTGACGATCACCCGATATATTTCTGCTGGTAGTTGGTATGAGTGGTATGAGATCTACCTGTATGCACCGTATGTAGTGTATCATACTGTATGGTACTGAGACTGACTGCCTGATTTCTGGGGAGTGAGTACGGCGTAGCTTTGAGCAACATAGGACTGTTCCGGACCGCTCATTGATAATCGGGCAACTATGTCTTGGAGACATATAATCCATTCTGGATTGTAAGTATGCGGATTGTATGCAGACTGAAGCTTTTAAGCTGTACAGTCCTTGTCCTATTAACCAAAGCGGGTCTTTTGTCGTCATTCAAGGTTTCTATCGTTCTATCCACAATTCGTATCTACTCGTAGTACGGAGTAAGTACTGTCTCCGTAGTCTCCGTAGTCCGTACGGGGCAAACACTCCACCCACTGCACTGCACACCCACCCACCAACACACTCACGGGAGGTTCTAACCTACCTAGTCTAACTTTCCTTCTCCCCAAACATCGCCCATCATCCTCCCCTTTCGTAATCTAATTTCCCTCTTCACCACCACCATCACCATCACGCTCCCTCCCCTCCCCTTTCTCTCGTTCCCTTCCCCTTCTCCACTATCCTCCTCTTGTCTCGCCAGTCCTTGATTGAACAAGCAACATTGATCACATCGTTCAATACCTTGAACCTCGACATTGATCCTCCAGAGCTAGAATGATTAGCACATATTGAGCTCCGTGGCCGCTTCCGACGGGATCACTCTGATCCGCATGTACGTCTCTGTCTACTCTGCACCCCCTTCCCTCTCTTGTCAATTTCCGCTTGCTGAAGTCGGTGCTTTACTGCCAGCATGACAGACCCCACAACTGAACCCTCCGAGCCAAGGAGCTCGGAGAACACCCAAGCTCGCCATTATTGGAGAAGACCCGAACCTATGTCGCTATCAGATGGAACCAAGCTCTCTTCGCCAAATTCTGCGTCTCCCTCAGTGATTTCGAAAACAGACACGCAGCATCCAGCGGAGGAAAAGGAACACGATCAGGTGAATGACCTGCCACCTCTGCAGGACACCGGGGAAACCATAACAAAAAATAAATCCAAAGCGCATACAGGACAAGCTAGCGGCTACCTGGAGGATCGGACAACATCCGGGGATGCTATCTCTGGTGATAATCCTGGCTTGCTGATGCCTCGAAGAATGAATGAGACGACCGAAGGACCGCAAACATCCGCAAGTAGGAAGCCGCAACCGCCACTGCCAGCCGCGAGCCGCCGTCCGAGCGTTCAGTTCACTCGAGACTCTCCCGAAGTCGACCCTCTCACTGAACTACCCAGTTCCAGGCCGCCATCAGTAAAGGGGGATGACGCGGATCTGGGTTTGAGAGGGAAACAGTCTCTACTCACGAAGTTAAAATCATTCGCAGCCTCACCCTCGTTCGTTTCGCACTCGCGCTCAGCTAGTGGCGCAACCCTGAGCGATTTCAGAGCCACCAACAATGATCTAGCAACCCCGGGTTCGGAACGGGGCGAGTTTCGTTTCCCAAACACCTTGGAAGAAGAGGGAAGCGACATTGACGCCGATGCGGAGGAGAGCGCAGGGGAGAATCGTGCCCACCAGCCAAAGAAGAAGAAGAAACAACGCCGACGTCAAAAAGATGAGTCGACCTCGCAAACGCAGCCAAATACACCAAAGACTACTACTCGTCCGTCGTTTCACTTGCCCAGCTCATTTGCTCCCTTTGAGAATTACCGGTCGAATTTCTTCCCGCGCCGGGGGAGCACTGGGAATTGTATCCCGCAGCAGCGGGAGGGAGTTTCGGAAGATGAGGGGCGTGACCGGTTGAACAGGGATACGGCATGGAGGCGAAGAAGTGTCTGGCTTGCGAATGCGAGAGGACTTACTTATGGTGGACGTCAGCTGGACACTCCAACGAACCCTGACGAGAGAAGACCGAGCAACCTCAGAAGACTGACCGGGCTGGCTGGCCCTTCTGACAACGCCGAGGGTACCGCGCCGCCTTGGCGGCGCCACCGGGCTGACCGAGGTTCTAGCTTGAGCGCTCAAAAATGGCGTCAGATCAAAGCTGGACTCAAGTTGATTGGGCAGAGACGCAAGGTGGATAATACTGTCGATCATGCAAAATCAGCAGAACTTCTGGCAGAACTTACGTCCGGGGTGCCGGCCGCCCTCATTCTAGCCAGCATGTTCCAGAGGGACGAGCATGGAAGCAAGCGCATTCCAATTTTACTCGAACAGCTCAAGGTGCGGGTCACCGATAGCAAGATTGATTCACACTCCGGCGACCGCCATCTGGTTTTTCGTATCGAGCTCGAGTACGGAAGTGGAATGACACGGATGAAGTGGATTATACACCGTACCCTAAGAGACTTTGCCAATATTCATCTGAAGTACAAGCTGCACTTTGGAACGCAGAAGTACATTCAATTACGGAACACTGAAGGTGGACAAAACCTCCCGCGCTTTCCGCGCAGTGCGTTTCCTTATCTTCGAGGTGTGCGCGGCTTAGAAAGTGACATGGAAGATGAGGAGGACGATGGTGGATATGAGACGGCGGCAGAGGTAACAAGCGGCAACGAAAGGGGCGGTAAGAAACAGCATCAGCAATTACCGCGGCGCCCATCTGGTGCCATGTCTCGAAGACAGTCGAGTGCGACAATCCCAGATGGAGAAAATCCTGCAGGCTCATCCGGGCCGGTAGAAGCTGGGTTCGCTAACAAGAGAGAGACTTACCCGGAAAGGCAACGAAAGAAGCTGGAATCGTACCTACAGAAGCTAATCCGGTTTCTTATTTTTAAGCCAGATAGCAACCGCCTGTGCAAATTCCTCGAGCTTTCGGCACTAGGAGTCCGTCTTGCCGCTGAAGGGAGTTATCATGGCAAGGAAGGATATCTTGTTATCCAGTCGTCCAAAGGCCTTGATTTCCGGAGAGCCCTGACGCCAGGCATGGTAAAAAAACGCCACTCCCCCAAATGGTTTCTTGTGAGGCACAGCTACGTCGTATGCGTAGATTCGCCGGAGGAGATGAATATATATGATGTGTTCTTGGTAGATCCCCTTTTCAAACTCCAGACTCAGAAGGTTAGCTTGCGCAATCAGAAGGCAAAGGACTTTGCCAAGTCTGCAACAGAGTCAGCTCGACACCCGCAGCATCACACTCTAAGACTCGAGAACTCGGAGCGAAAGCTCAGACTGCTGGCCAGGAATGAGCGGCAACTCCACCAATTCGAGGACTCAATACGGTTCATGGTCAATAACACCCCCTGGGCGAGACCGAACCGATTTGAGAGCTTTGCCCCTGTACGGCAGAAGTGCTTCGCGCAATGGCTGGTGGATGCGCGTGATCACATGTGGGTTGTGTCCCGCGCGATCAACCAGGCTAAAGATGTCATCTATATTCATGACTGGTGGCTCAGTCCTGAGCTCTACATGCGTCGACCGGCCGCTATCAGCCAGAAATGGCGCTTAGACCGTCTGCTACAGCGTAAGGCGCGTGAAGGTGTGAAGATTTTTGTGATTATGTATCGAAACATCAACTCCGCCATTCCAATCGATTCGGAGTACTCCAAGTTCTCTCTACTCGATCTACATCCGAATGTCTTTGTTCAACGTTCACCCAATCAATTCCGGCAGAACACCTTCTTCTGGGCACACCATGAGAAGCTATGCATTATCGACCACACTCTGGCCTTTGTTGGGGGTATTGACCTGTGTTTCGGAAGATGGGACACGCCTCAACATCTCCTGACGGATGATAAGCCAACGGGCTTCGAGACACGGGAGGGACCAAAGGACGCGGATCATTGCCAGCTCTGGCCAGGCAAGGACTACTCGAACCCTCGGATACAAGATTTCTACGATCTCGATAAACCGTACGAAGAGATGTATGATCGGAATATTATTCCCAGAATGCCTTGGCATGATATCTCGATGCATGTAGTGGGTCAGCCGGCTCGAGACCTCACGCGCCATTTTGTCCAAAGGTGGAATTACATCTTGCGCCAGCGAAAACCAACCCGTCCAACGCCATTCTTACTCCCGCCTCCTGATTTCGATGCGGCTGATCTGGAAGCTCTCGGTCTTGATGGGACCTGCGAAGTCCAGATTTTACGTTCTAGTAGCATGTGGTCGACAGGCACTCCGGACATAACCGAACACAGCATCATGAACGCCTACGTGAAACTGATTGAGGAATCCGATCATTTCGTATATATTGAGAACCAGTTTTTCATCAGCACCTGCGAGATTGACGGTAGAAAAATCGAGAATCTGATCGGGGACGCATTGGTAGAGCGCATCACCCGGGCTGCAAAGAACAAAGAAGCATGGCGTGCCGTGATTGTCATTCCCTTGATGCCTGGTTTCCAGAACACGGTCGATAGCGAGGGTGGAACTAGCGTCCGCCTAATCATGATGTGCCAATATCGCAGTATCTGCCGTGGTGAGACGTCAATCTTTGGACGGTTAAGAGCATTGGGAATCGAGCCTGAGGATTATATTCAATTCTTCAGCCTCCGGTCTTGGGGAAAAATCGGTCCGCAAAAGCAGCTCGTGACTGAGCAGCTGTACATTCATGCTAAATGTATGGTCGTTGATGATCGCGCGGCTATCATCGGTTCCGCAAATATCAACGAACGGTCGATGCTCGGATCACGCGACTCAGAAGTTG